TAGAGTATTCTGAATTTGATTGTGTGCTTGTACTTACTTTTACCAGTGAGTTTTATATTTTCTTTTTTTTGAGACATTATTTCACTCCTGTTGCCCAGGCTGGAGTGCAATGGCACCATCTCGGCTCACTGCAACCTTTGTCTCCCGGGTTCAAGCTATTCTCCTGCCTCACCCTCCCAAGTAGCTGGGATTACAGGCATGAGCCATCACGCCCAGATAATTTTGTATTTTTAGTAGAGGCAGGATTTCACCATGTTGGTCAGGCTGGTCTCGAACTCCTGACCTCAGACGATGCACCCACCTTGGCCTCCCAAAGTGCTGGGGCTAGAGGCATGAGCCACCGCACCCAGCCTATACTTTCATATATATTTGTTTAACCAAATAGTGTCTCTTGCTCTTTACTTGAAGAACACCCTTGAGCGTTTCTTATAAGACAGGTCTTGTGGGGATAAACTCCTTTAGATTTTGTTTGTCTGGCAGAGTCTTTGTTTTTTCCTCATTTCTGAAGGAGAGCTTTGCCAACTACAATATTCTTGGTTGACCTTTTTTTTTTGTTTTCCATAAGCACTTTGAATATATTATTCCACTCTCTTCTGACATTTAAGGTTTCTGCTGATAAATCTGTTAGAACTCCCTTATATGTGATGTGCTTATTTTCTTTCGTTGTTTCCAGCATCCTCTCTGTCTTTGATATTTGATAGTTTGATTATAATACATCTTGATGTAGTCTTATTTGAGTTCAATTTGTTTGGAGACTTGACTTCTTATACCCAGATATTTATAACTTTCCCCAGATTTGTATAGTTTCCTGCTGTTATTTCTTTAAACTTTCTATCCTTTTGTCTCTCTCTCCTCCTCCTTGAACTTAAGTTCCCATAAATTCCATAAGCTGCCCCATAAACCCCATAAGCTGCCCCATAAACCCCATAAGCTTTATTTCTTTTCATTCGTTTTTCTCTTTTCTCACCCAACTGTATATTGTCAAATAATCTGTCTTCAAATTAACAGGTTCATTCTTCTGCTCAATCAGTTCTGCTGTTGATACTCTCTGTTGCATTTTTCATTTCATTTCTTGTATTTTTCAGCTGTAGAATTTGTTTGATTTTTTTAAATATAATTTCAATCTCTTGTAAATTTTTAAATTATTTATTGTTTTCCTTTAATTGTTTCTCTGTATTTTCTTGAAGTTTACTGAGTTTCCTTAAACAGTTATCTTGAATTCTTCGTCAGGCAGTTCATGTGTCTTCATTTTTATTTTATATTTTATTTTATTTATTTATTTACTGTGTGTGTGTGTGAGACAGAGTTTCGCTCTTTTTGCCCAGGCTGGAGTGCAAGGGCGTGATCTTGGCTCAGTGCAACCTCCGCCTCCTGGGTTCAAACAGTTCTCCTGCCTCATCCTCCCAAGTAGCTGGGATTATAGGCACCTGTCACCACGACTGGCTAATTTTTGTATTTTTAGTAGAGACAGGGTTTCACTATGTTGGCCAAGCTGGTTTTGAACTCCTGACCTCAGGTAATCCAGCCGCCTCAGCCTCTTAAAGTGCTAGGATTACAGGCGTGAGCCACCTTGCCTGGCTGTGTCTTCATTCCTTTAAGGCCTGTTCATGGTGCTTTATTTTGTTCATTGGTGGCAACATGTTTCCCTAATCTTGATCTTCATGGCTATGCATTGGTGTCTGTGCGTTTAAAGAAGAAGGACTTAATGCTGGTCAATGGTTTTTGCAAACTGGCTTTGTCTGGAAAAGCCATTCACCAGTCAGGCTGTCCAGAGATTCTGGGTAGGCCATTTGGTGTGATCTGCAGATGGCCTTGCTGCTAGAGTCCTTAGGCAGGGTGGCCTGGCACTGAGTCCGTGGGTTGGGGTTGAAGCCCAGATCCGCTGGGGTATACCTGTTGGATCCTCAGGCATAGACCTGGAGCTCATATCTTGTGCAGAGAGGCTGTCCTGAAGCCTAGGTCCACAAGGGCTGACCTGGGGCTGGACTGGGCCTTGAGCCTGTATCTTCAGAGATTGGCCAGGTGCTAGAATTAACCAGGTGCTTGGGTCCACTGAGATGGGCCTGGAGGCTAAGTCCATTAGGGCTGGCCTGCATCCTAGGGCCACAGGCCCCAGCCTAGAACCTAGGTCCATAGTGACAGTCCTGGGATTCTGAGGGCCAGCCCAATGCTGGGGTCTACTGGGTTGGCCTAGACCCAGGGTTCTGCTGGACTGTGGAAACGCAGGGGCCAGCCTTAAGCAGGTCATCATAGAGACTGGCCTGGCACTGGCAGGCCTGGAGCCTGTGTCTGCAGGTGCCGGCCTGGTACTTGAATTTGGGGTGCCAATTTGGCACTGGGGCTATGTCGGCAGACCTGGCTCTGGTTTTATTTGGAACCTGGGGTGGGACTGGATTCTGGGGCCATAGTTGCTGGCCTGGTGCTGGGTGGGTCCAGAGTCTGTATCTGCAGGGGCTAGCATGGAGCCTGGGTCAGTGGGTGCAGGTGTTATAACTAGCGATGCAGAGCTGGCCTCAGGCCTGGTGTTGAGGTGGGCTGAGGGCCTGAGTCTGGGTGGCCTTCCCTCTTAAAGCAGATAGTCATGAAAATTCAAAGGTAAGCTTTGTTCTAAGTGTGGGAAGGTAGGGACATGCCAGCAAATGGACTTCTTTTAAGCATTCAGTGGCTGGGAGCTGACTAGCAAGCAGCTTCTCCAGCCCCTGTCCCTGACTATGCAGGCTGAGGGTCCTGGGTAGCCAAGCTCCAGTTTACCTAGCATTCCATCCACAGTAAGTTAAGCCTTGGAAATAAAGATGGCATTGGCCAGGTTCTTAACATAGTACTGTGAGTGTGGTGAGGGTGTGACAAGATGGACAGTCTTTACATCACTGGTAGGATTGAAAATTTATACTACTTTTCTGGAAAGTAATTTGGCAGAGTATAAAAAAGGCTTTTAAAATATCCATTTCTTTTGGTCTAGTTTTCATATTTATAGAAGTCTATTGGCCGGGCCGGTGGCTCAAGCCTGTAATCCCAGCACTTTGGGAGGCCGAGGCGGGTGGATCACGAGGTCAAGAGATCAAGACCATCCTGGTCAACATGGTGAAACCTCGTCTCTACTAAAAATACAAAAAATTAGCTGGGCATGGTGGTGCGTGCCTGTAATCCCAGCTACTCAGGAGGCTGAGGCAGGAGAATTGCCTGAACCCAGGAGGCAGAGGTTGTGGTGAGCCGAGATCGCGCCATTGCACTCCAGCCTGGGTAACATGAGTGAAACTCTGTCTCAAAAAAAAAAAAAAAGAAGTCTATCTTAAAGAATTAGGGAAGTGGGCATAGATTTATATTCAGAGATCTTCTGTACTACTTATAGTAGGGGAAAATTGGAAAGAATCTAAATGTCTTAGAAAAGAGGAATAGTAAATCATGTCAGTTATGTAGCTATATGATGAGATGTTTTGCAGCCAACTTTCAAATGCCTAATGACGTCAAGAGATGCTCATGATATAAAGTTGAATGAAAAACATCAGGATGTAACCTTTTATACACAAATATGATCCTTCTTTTAAAAAAGGGGGAATAAGAAAATACATGTTGGCCGGGCACAGTGGCTCACGCCGGTAATCCCAACACTTTGGGAGACTGAGGTGGCAGATCACCTGAGATCAAGAGTGTCCAGCCTGGCCAACATGGCGAAACCCTATCTTTACTAAAAATACAAAAATTAGCTGGGCATGGTGGCATGCACCTGTAATCCCAGCTGCTCGGGAGGCTGAGGCAGGAGAATTGCTTGAACCCAGGAGGCGAAGGTTGCCAAGTCAGCTGAGATTACACCACGGCACTCTAGCCTGGGCTCCAGAGCAAGACTCCCTCTCAAAAAAAAAAGAAAAGAAAGAAAGAAAATACATGTTTTTATATGGTAAAAAGGGCAGGAAAAAGCATTATTATGAGTGACAGTATTCTAGGTGATTTGTGTTTTCTTTTGTAAAAAAAATTTCGTTTTCAAATTTTCTACAAGTGAGTCTATATTTTTATAGTCAGAAAAACCAGTAAATGTAGAAATGTCTTCACACACCCTACATTGCACCAAAAAAGACTGCTATTTGTCACAATTTGTAGGCAAAAAGTGGTTTATGTTAGGGTTGAATTTGCCAATTATCATAATGGACAAATGGGTTCTGAATCCAGCTTTCTGCATTGTATCGTATTCATGGCCGCTGGTGCCAGTACTGACTGGTGTGTGAGCTCCAGCATGGCCCATCTGCTGCTCAGGCTTGCTTGGCTGACACAGATTTATTTCATTTCGTTCCTTAATTTGGCAACATTTTCTCTTTTCTCATTATCCTAGCTGGGATTCAGTACCAGTGTTACTCATTTTGTTTACCAGTTTGTTGTTTTCTTTTGTTCCATTTTGTGAAGACGAGGAAGCCAACAACAGGAATTCTGTCTTCTGAAAATGCAGTGCTTGTCCTTCAGGATATTGGGCGTGTCTTGCTAAACTGCTATTTCTGACACTTGCAAGCCATTTCAATTGTTTTGATAAATAGAAAGCTTCATGGTGTACTTTTTGAAGAGCTTAGCATTCCTTTCCTCTCCTCCCTCCCCCAAGGAAGATTTGGAAATGGTTCCAAATAGAAATTATAAACATTAGCCTGGAGCTGTGCTCTCTCCATCTGGTATTTGATGTTTTTTTTTTTTTTAAACTAAAGGCTCCTGTTGTTTGTTTAATCTTCATCAGTACTGCAAAAACACGTGGTATGAGACTTAACTGTGCCCCAAGCACCCTACACATAAGAAGGGATTTTCATCTGAATTGGTTTGTATTTCAAAGAGCATTGGGATAGTCAGCCAGATTGCTAAGAATTTGCTCAAGTGAAACTTTAGAACTATTGGAATCGTCTTAGAGATTTCTTGAATGGATTTGTTAGGATAGGATGGCTGCTGCCTGAGAATCCTCTTTGAACCTGACACTTTATTTTTTTTGAGAAGACATGCTTAAGACTTTGTGCTACTTTTCTCTCTAGGTTACCCTGAAGAGACTTACCCAATTTATGACCTTTCAGACTGTATCAAGCGTAGGCAAAAAACAATCTTGGTGGATTACCCTGACCCAAAAGAGCTTTCTGCTGAAGAAATAGCTGAAAGAATGGGAGCGATAGAAGAGGAAGAATCAGACCATTTAGGTTGGGAAGGTCTGCCCACTGACCCCAGAGCCCAGGAAGATAATTCTGTTACATCTTGCGATCCAAAGCCAGAAACATGTTCCTGCTGTTTTCATGAAGATGAGGATCCTGCTGTCTTGGCAGAGAATGCTGGATTCAATGCAGATAGCTACGCTGAGCAAGAGGAAACCACCAAAGAAGAATGGCCCCAAGACTTTAGAGATGAAGGGCTGGGCATCAATACCGATCAAGCATATACAGGCAGCATGCTGAGGCGGCGTAACCACCAGGGTTTAGAGTGAAAACTGCCAGTTTGAAGTATCCATTACTCAAGTCCCAAGATGACCTTTCTCTCCTCAGATTTCCTTCTTGGCCCTGTGCCCTGTACTGTCTTCACTGTGTTCAAGTGTCATAGCTATCAGGCCACTATCATGGATATCATGTATCCTTCCTGGTGCTCACACACCTGTCACCTTGTAAAACATAGATATTAGTGTGAACACAGGACAGGTTCGCTGTTTCTCTTCCTGCCTTTCCCTATCAGAGAAGTTGATCCATTAAGTAATTATGTTTGGTCTGTCGTAATTACAGATGGGACCACTCAGGGGCAAAGGTCTGACTCTTCCTGGTAGGTGTAACAGATAGCTTGCCTGTGAATGAACATCAGCTTACAGATGATGAGGACTTAAGGTTGCAAGAATGAAGATTTCAGACTCCAGGATGCCTTATCTTTGGGCCTTGAGCAGGTTAGTAGTCCTATGGGGAGAAGAGAACATTTTATTTGTGGGGCTGATGGGCCCAGAGTAGGGTAAAACTCTGATCTGAAGCCTCTTCCTTGCAGTGAGGATCTTCGTAGGAGCATTGATGCTGCCTCAGACATCCTCTTTTCTTCAGAGTAGGAAAGACTACCACTGATGTGAGAATGAGCCCAGAGGCTTGTTTGGGGACTGTTTTACTCTGATATTACCTGGATCTCTAGCTTCCTTTACCCTTGTCCTGCATAACAGAACTGCCAAGCCCAGAAATACCTTTGCACTCCTGGTTTTCAGTGGACAAAGAAAGTTTTAGAGACTTTAGACCCTGCCCTTGCAAAGTCAAGACGAGGCCACTAAAGCTGCAGGAAGCCCTGCCCAGGAATGGTTCTGCCATGAGAAGCTCAGAAGGCCAGGAAGCCAGCAATAGGGGAGAGAATCTGTGCACTTATGGACAGTCCTTACCTAAAGCTGTTTCTGAATGTTGTACCCTTTGAGAAATTTGTTCTCAGAACCCATAAATTGAAACAGAAATGAGGACTGATCTTGTATACAAAATGCCAACTCAACAGGCAAGTTGGAGTGTTTCTGTTGCACAGAACCAATATAGCAGTGCCCGGGGAAGAGACCATATGTTCCATATTTGGATATTTGGTTGAGTCTTTTGAGAGAGCTAGGGAAAGTAGCAACTAGATTAGGACTGGGAGGATTTTGACCAAACTAAAGGCCTTTTTCTCCTATTGCATCTGATGTGTGTCTTCTTGAGACAAGCTGGCACTCATGATTTATAACATGAAGGATGTGTGAATTCAGTTTATGTGTAAGACCTAAGAGTTTGAAGAGGGCACATTCCCAGAGACATTCCCAGTCATGAAATGTAGAAGACTGAAAAATTTAGAAATTATGTAAAGGTAGATATGACTTTTAGAGTTCCATTATGCTTGGCATGAATAAGATGCCAGGAAAATAGTTTAAAATCACACATATAAGCATACAGACTGATGTCAGAAGGTATGGAATCATATTAAGATAACCTGTCAGTTACTACTAGGCATTTATTGTTAATTGAGTTACAGAGAAAAGTCATTGAAGATTGAATTTATAGAAAGTATATTGCATCTATCTGTGTAGCACATTTGATTCACGTTGTAAAGAATGCAGTTTAAAATGTACTGAATGCAATCTAGATGTACTGTACACTAAAGGTAAAAAATAACAGGTGCTCTTTACTGTTTTGATAGATTGTTTTCTGTATTATTCCTCTTCATTCACTATGAGGGGTTGATTTAAGAGGAGAGCCTTGGGTTCCTGGCTCAGATTTCTTTTTTGCCTTAGGATATGATTCCCTTATTAGAGATAAATACTTCTATTTTCTTCTAATTCATTCATCCATTTAGCAGTCAGGGGCTCAGTGCTAGGTACTGGGAACAGAGGCTCAATTTCTGCCCTCAAAAAACTGAGTATGTCTAGAAAGCCTGACAGATAAAATGAACTATAACCCTATAAGAGGGCTCAAGATTGTGAATTCTGCAGGCAGAGAAACGTGAGCCATGATCTGTCCCTGTATCTTCTAGCTGTGGAATCTTGGGTCAGCTCCTTAACCAGTTTGAGCTTTGGCTTCTGGGTGGTAAAGGGAGGGGTGGTAAAATGAACTCATCAGTGCATGTCAAACAGCACTGGTTTCTAGCTCATACATGATAACCACTCATTAAGTGGTAGTTATGTTTTTATTATAAGGGCTATGCTGTAATTCAGACATGGGCCCAAAACTACAGGAAAGAGAAATTGTTTTTGCTATTTCCAAGACACTTTACAGTTTCTTGGGATGTGGGCCTTCAGACGGGTTAAGAACTTCTCCAGGTGGGCAAAGGAGAGAGGACATTCTTGGCAGAAAGAGTTGTTGAAAAAAGCAGTTGGGTGTGAACATACATGGATGTTCAAGTATTTTGATGAGGCTGTTATGTAAAGTGTTGTTAGTCTTTGGGGAAAATTGGCTTATGGAAATTCCTGCCAGAAGTACTAAGCCCTTATGATGGTTCTTCCTGCCCTGGCTCTTGGTTGGTTTATATATAAGGAATATGTTTGTGTATTTATATATCAGACATTTTGGTGTACCTTTCAGTCATTCAGGATTTAGATAGTTCTTCTTGGATTTTCCAGAATTATTTTATCTTTTAGGGATGAGTTATATGTGTGTATACAACCCAGGATGAAAAAATCATGGGACTGTTTTTTGTTGCCAAGGCTGCCATCTCTTTCCCGCGGTCTTCATTTCTGACAATGAGGGGGTGGGGAACTTGTCCTTTGGGCACTATGGCAGAGTACACAAGTCATACCTCTATGGACAGTTAGCTCACAAAACAACAGCATAATCTAGGATCATTCTTGGTAAATCAGGTGGGTGGTACAGCCAGATCGCCTTTCCTGGTCACAACAGGAGCACAAAGAAACCATTTCATTATCTCCATGACTAGCTCCAGAAGCTGAGTTCAGGGAGGTGTGCTGAGGAGTGGAGGTGTATTTGGTCTGTAGAAGCAATGGCTTTTGAGAACCATACTCTGCATCTTACATGGTTTGGGTAATGAAATAACTTATGGTCCAAATTCAAACACTTTGGTAAAAGGGAGCTTTAATAAAAATTAAGCCAAGGTAACAGGCATAAACTAAGACTATCCTGCACATATGACCACCCCTTTCTATGGCCATTTAAGATTTTTCAACCTGACTAAACAAAACCCTCTTTCCTTTGTAGAATATCCTGTATACGCTATTTCCCGCCAGAGGCAGAGGCCACAGGAGATAGGCCATGGTTCAGGTAGGAAACACTCTTGGTCACATAAGAACTCTAGATCTGGGGGGCAAACAAACTCTTATTTATTACCACACTCTCAAAGTTCCCTTCAGTCTGGACTATTTATATTCCAAGGAAAAATTCAGTACTTCATCTATTCAGCAATACTCAGAAAAAAACATGAACACATCTATGACTTTGCCTTGACCACTGACTTTTCTAAAATGTGCTTCCTTTTCTTTCCCTTTTTTTTCACACAAAGAAAACAAGGCAAATTTCTCTTAGGTCATTCCTTTTCAGAGAACTAGTTTCTCCATGAATTGGGAATGATGCTGTCTTTCCAGCGCTGTATGGATTAAATAAGATGCTTTTTATAAAGTGTCTGTGCCAGGGTGAAGCATGTGGTAGGTGCTTGGTGACTGCAAGTCCTGTGTTGCTGAGATGTCACACTTGACAGGCTCTAAGGCTACCTGGACTGCCAGGAATGGCCCAGGGCCATTCTGTAGTCTCTGGGTGCCTTTAGTGGTAACTTCCTTTCTGGGTCAGACCATTCATTAGCTTTCATGTCTGCCTCTACCTACCACTGTAGCCTCCCTTCCTTTTGGCTTCAAATCTGCCACAGCTGCCCCACAACAAAAAAGATTCCTAAGCATGTCTAAGTCCTGTTTAAGTGGGTTAGGCTCCAAGCAGGCCCACAGAGTACTTAAGTTAGAGCAGTTCTCTTCAGGGTCTCCTGTGCCACCTGAAGGAGTGGGCCTGGTTGGATCATTTATACATTTTTAATCTCTGCAGATAGCCCTGTTCTGTTCGTAAGGCCAGGCCTACTCCTTCAGGTGGCACAGCAGACGCTGAAGAGAACTGCTCTAACTTAAGTACTTTGTGCCTTCATCATTTTTCTACCCTCTGGGTGTGGTTCTGACAAACCTTAAACTTGAAAGGCACAGCCAGAGAGAGGTCAGTGTTGACCCACATGTCATTGGTGAGGTTATGACCTCTTTGCTATTACCACCCATCTACCCGCCTGAGGCTCCTAAGAAACACTGAATGAAGGGCAGAGAAAAAAACTTTTAGGAACAGAAGTGTTGAAACAGTTCAAGTTTAATGTGTTGATATATATCTGTACTTAGACAAACACTAAATTCTACAACATATATAATGTCAACATGGGAAAATACCAAGTTTGTCATTGCACATACCAATAAATAAATACATTTCCTCCAGAATACCAAAGAAGTTTATTCAAAAATTCACTTAATAAAAGCACAGATTTGTCTAAAACTCCAGATAATCTTGAACAAAAATAAAATGTCTGACCACTCCAAAATAGGAAAAGACAATCTTGTGCAAATAGACATACACATTCTAGGCATTGTGAAAACTGGCTGTGTGTTCCCAGCAAGAAACTTCACCCCTCCTGACCAGCAGTCAGGCTTCCCTTTCCTAGTCATTCTACGTTGCCTTCTAGGAAACTCTGGATCTCAGCCTATTCTCCAGCTTTGCCTGGACCTTGCCAGGGGGAGTGAGGGACAGGAGCACAGAGAAGGAGAGGGATGTGATGTCTTTCTTAGGAAGGAAAAAAGGCACAGTGATGAGCTATAAAAGTAGTGATGAAAGCAAAGAGTAACTTTCATTCACTCCAAATCCTACTGCAAGCTTTGACAATGTAACGTCTTCATCTTGTTAAGAAAATGGACCTAGAAAGATTACGGGGTTTGCTCAAAATCACATAGCTACTAAGTGCAGTAGTGCATTCTCCAAGACCAACTTGCCTTTTCACTTGGTTGGAAAATTTAAAAACCAAACCTGTCATAATATGTCTGTTCTGCCCTTCTCCCCTGTGTCCTGAGATGACAGAAAATTCCAGGTGGCCATAAACTCAAACAAGAGCCCAGCTCTTGGCCTATTACTGGTGGCTACTACAAGCCTACAGACCAGAGCTCCAGGTAGTGTAGTGTCCCAACTCTGGGCCCTAACTACGGTCATTCAGGTCCCAGTTTCAGTGAAAGCAGACTCATTCAGCTATGTGGAGAAGTGTATTCAGGACCACTTGGCAACCTGAGTTGACACAGGGATGCTGCAGCTGGCATAAGGAGTTAGTTAGAAAAGGGAAGGCCAGTGTTACTGCAGTAGGAGAAAACCAGGAAGTCCATCTAGGAGATGGAATTTGTGCTTGCATAACAGAGCCATGGAAATGGCTATCCCAGCATCTCCCCTCACTGCAGACTCAATTGTAAGCAAAGCATGGACCTTTTTCTTTGAAATCAACCCTGCCACTTGTAAAATTAGAACTACCTCTAAATGCTAAGTTTATTTAAGAGGTAAATGTCCTGCTATTTTCAGAATGAGGGGAAAAAAAAGTTCTTCTATAATTTTGTGCCCTACTTGTTACTGAAGGAGGCAGGCTCCAAAAGTTCTCTTACAGCTTCTGATTATCACAGTCCTGGCTTCCAACACCTGTCTTCACCATAGGTCTGGACCTTATGTGCTTCCTCTGAACTAGTGTCATGATTTTTAAGGCACATCCACTAGAATATGTTCAGTTTCAACCATATGTGCAACATACCAATTTCTTCAGGCAATGGAGAGAGGGAACTGAAAAGTTAACACCTTTCTTGGATGATGTCCTCTCACTCAGAACCCTGAGAGAAAAAGCTGGTATTTTCCCAGGTGTACCTTCTGTTTAAAGAGCATGAAATGAATGGACAAAATCCACAGGCGATCATAACAACATCCTTATTCCTTTCCTACTCATTTCTTAGCAATATGATCACAATTAAGAAACCTCAGTTGATTACTGATTGCCCTTTTCCCCAGTATACACAGACACACAGATACACATATACACAGACGGACACAGAGCACCTTGGAGCCAGAATGGAAAGAAAAGCTAGACTTGGAGAAGAGTTGGGGAAGTGAACTTCACCACTCTGCAGAAGAATTGTTTGGGGGCAGAGGGTGTAGAGTTTGGGGTGTGGTCCCAGGAGCAGTTAGAGAGAAGCTGCCTAAGGTCCCAACTGCCCAATACTGTTAGGGACTGCTCATTCTGTCATTGATTCCCTGCCCAATCAAGGACCATCCATCCAGGTAGAGGGTATGAAGGGCAAGAACTCTTATTGTGGGAGAGGCTGAACCCAGGTGGTTTCCAGGGGCCCTAGAGCAGCTTTAGGAGTCCTTGTGCTCATGGCCCCACGGCCACTGGTCAAGGAAAACCAGCATTTCCAGGAGTGCACTTAGCTGTGGATGCTTGTCACTCAATGCCTGACAAGAGTTTTGTGGCTGAGGCTACGGTTCTCCACACCCAGGCTAGAAAGCTCAGCCTGTATTTCCTGACCCCACCAAAAGATCCAGCCAGCTCCCTCTTCTGTATGCCACAGGAGAAAGCAGAGGTCAAGAGTTTTCCTTTGTGCTTTTGGTTTTTCCACTGCCACCAAGGTCTCTGTCTCACCAGAACTCAGAACGAGCCTGTTCTATCTTAAAATCACAAATCCAGAGAAATAGCTTGACCAAACATTAGAGATGACCTAGTGTCCAGCATCTCAAATGTCACAATGCAGATCTCTTCTCCTTAAAGGTAGGGAAGGAAGGGCTAAACTGGAACTGTAGAAAGGAGGATGGCACCATGATGTTTCACCAGCCCTGGCACAGAAGGTTCTAGCGCACTCTAGAAACTGGACCATGTGGCAAAAGTGAATCATTGGAGGTGCCTCTCACAGAGCTGTATGGCTGAGGTGTGGGAAGATCCTGCTAGAACAGGTATGCCTTGCTTTAAGCATTCAACATAGGAAACTCTAGATTACAAAGAAATGAGAGCATACTACTTCTACTTAAGTCAAAATAAGTCCTTCACCTATAAAGCCTACCATGTTTAAAATGCAACTTTTATTTTTAAAAATTAATTTCTGCTTAGCTCTTCCAAACATATCTACTCTAAAGCAAGGTTCAATCCCTTCTTGCTTCCCACTGATTTGTGATCTCTGTCTGGGCAAGAAGCCTCCACCAGGGTAAATGATAAATGAGCAAGAGCTTGAGCTTCAAGTTCCCAAGCCTGCACGGTGGATAGTGCCATCCAAGGAGAAATAGCAGTGGCAGTGGAGGGAGTAATCAGGCCCAGCCCCAAAACCTTTATGCACTCTCTCTCATCTAAACTGAGAAGCATGCCACAGCCTTACTAAAGCCTGCTCACCACTGAGCAGTCCTCACGGAGAGGCCAGACACAGGCCAATCCTGGATCATACTTGTGCAAAAAACCAACTTTGAACAGGGAACTGCCTGAATTCCTACTGGAATGGTTTCAATCTTATGTATCAACTCCGATGTTTCTAAGTCTCTGGAATCAGGGGAAGTGGGGAGGGCATGCAGAATGGGCCCCAGGAGGCTAGAGACCCAGAGACACTAGTTTCTTGAGGGACAGTGGGAACAAAGAAATCGAGAACTGGAGGTTCTGAACGCTGCCATTAACCAGCTAGGTGACCCAGGGCAAGCCCTGTTTTCTGAGTGATTCACCTAAAGCAATAAGGTTGTACTAGTTGATCCCTAAGTGTCCTGCCACTACTGATCTCTTGTGGTTCTAAAGTAGTCCCTGCTTTATTCACCCTGTCCCATTTCCTCCCAAGAACCATACACAGAAGGCTTTACCAACCATGACTTGGCTGACAGCAGTGAGAGTTGAGTCTTTCCAGAGAGAGAGAGAGAGGATTCTTCCAGGAGCACGTCATGGCTTGGGAATGGTTCTCTGCCAGCAGGATCCCCAGGCATGCCTAGCTGTGTACAGTCAGGCTGGTGACCTGGACCCCATCTGTGTTTCCTGGGAGTTGTGCTGGGCTGCTAAGCAGAGAGGTCCTGGGGCAGCTGACAGGACTCCCAGAACAACCCTGATCCAGGGACCCTGTTCACGCACTTCTGCATGATGACCCTGTGTCCTGCAGGGCCCATCTACTAAGACAGTCAGCCTGGACAGCTGGGTTCCTGCTGCCTCTGTGAGAGCAAACCTGGAGAAATGAAATGCGCTAGAACCCTAGCCACCAGCTGATTCCCACAGCCACAGTGAACCAGGACCCTCCAGTCCTGTTAGGGTCCTGCCACTTACCTGTCCCCACCACCCTCCCAACTTCTTTCAGGCTTGGGTGAGCCTTTCTGCAGTTGTTTAAGGGCCAGGCTCGGCCACCAAGCCCTTTGCTACATAAAGTTGATGTGGCCCTCATACATACACACACTCACTGTGCCCCTACCTGCTGGGGTACCTGTTGCCATCTGACTCCTTGGCTGAGCGGATGACTGGGTCACAGCAGCCCTGCATTGTGCTTCCTCTCCCTCTATGCCTCTTCCGGCCTTCCCAGCTGAAAAAGTTGCTCAGCTTGGTAAGCACGACTGCAAACACTACCCCAAAGGTTGGGGTGTGTGTCGATCTCGGGGCACAGAAAGAATTACTCTCGTCCCTTCACACCCACCCACCCGCTCTCCACTACTCCCCTGCCTCAGCAGCAGAGGCAAAGGAGCCAGTTCCTGGCTGGCTGGGCCAGGGAGCCCACTGAGGGCCAAAGCTTCATCTGGCAGAAGGCCTATATACAGAGGGTAGGCAGGGCTGTCTCCATAGCAGGCAGGCAGGCAAGCTCCGCTCCAGGCTGGGCAACCCCAAAGGGCACGAAGAGGCCTCTACTCGCACGCCAGCTTGCTGTCGAAGCTGGACAGGGCAATGGCAAAGGCCTGCAGCGCACACAGCGGGTAGTTGTAATCCATGGTGAACACATCCTCTGCTACCCGGCCAAACTGCATCACGATGTAGTCCGCTGGGGCCAAGCACAGGCACATACAGAGAAAAGGACAGACACACACCCAAACCACATGAGGGAAGAGAAAGTGAGAAGCAGAGATGCCAAGGGAATCACAAAGGAAGTAAAACAAACGCCAATTGGGAGAAGTGGTAGGAAAGAGGAAGCAGATAGCAAAGGAGAAAGTGATACGAACACCAGGGGACAGAGAAGAGGGGGGAAAGTCCTTTTAAAGGGTGTTCCCATGCCTGAGACTCTGCTGAATACACAGAATCTAGGACCAGGGCTCCAAAGAAGGCTCTTCCAGGACCTCCCAGTCATTAGGGTTAGAAAGTTCCAAACATCTAACCTAAGCTGTATAGCTCACATTCTTCAACTCTAGCCAGTGTGAGCAGGGCTAGGTGGGGTGCACCCTACACTAAGGGTCTTGGGCATCATACAGACCATAATGAGTAGGGACAGAAACACTCACGGTCATTGCCATGGATGATCTGGAAGTTCTTCACGGAGGCCTGTGTGACACGCCCATGGAAGTTGAGTACGTAGGACTGTGTGTCATCATTCCAGACAGGTGTCTTATTTTGCAGCTCGATGATACTCTCGGTGTTCTTATTCTGCCAGCGTGCTAGCAGTGTCTCATGCTCCTGGGAGGGCAGCCTCACCTGAGCCAGGCCCAGGCCTTTGGCACCATGAACACCCCAAAGAGGGCTCTGTCCCAGGAATGTGGGTCCTAGACTTCCCTAGACCCCCAGGACTTTCTCACATGGTATCCCCTCCACATATACACATCCGCTGGAGTTCTGCCCTTAGAAGCTCATGCAGAGACCAGGATGATGGGGAAAGAAGGGAGGGAGGAATAGAGACTCACGTTGCGGGGGCGGATAGAGACTCTCTCATGAACCATGTTCATGCCTGGGACAATCACGCTCATCTTCCGAGGCCCCTTGAAGCCTAAGACGTTTGTCTCCTGGGAAAGAGAACGCAACACTGGCCACCTGAGGCGTCTATTGACCTACTGGAGAAGGTGAGGGGATGGGAATAAAGATGAAGAGCTAGTTCCCACCATCTCCACTCCAAAGTCTAACATGCACCTCTAAACCTAACATGGGCAGAACCGAGCTCCTGGGTCTCTATCTGCCACAACTAGCTTCTTCTATATGTCATCCTTGCTTCCATTTATGGCAATGCAATTCTTCTGCTTGCTCTGGCAAATTACTTGGTCACACTTGAGTCCTCTCTTCCACATCTTCTAATCCATCAGCAGTTTCTATCAGCTCTACCTTCAAATTATACCCAGAATTCCACCACTTTTTACCACTAGGTTCTCTCACTGAGATCACTGTAACAGCCTTTACCTGGATTCCTTGCTCTGTTCTTGGCCCTCCTACTACTACTTCCCATCATCTGTTCTCAACACAGCAGTCAGTGCTCAGGCATGTTAAGTCAGATTATCTTTCTCCTCTGCTCAAAACCCTTCAGTCGCTCCCCAGCTCACGCCGAGTAAAAGCTAAAGATGTGACTTTACCTGCACATGGCCCCATGGTACTCTCCTCACCATTTACTCCCTGGCATTCACTCCATTTCTTCTTCATGCTAGGCACTCAGGACTTCTGCCCTGTGTCCCCTAGACATGTACACTGCTGGTGTTAACTTCCTTCTGGTCTTTACTCAAGAGCTACCTCAGTGAAGCCCTCCCTGCCATTCTTCTGAAAATCTCACACCCTGGCATTTCCTCTCCCCCTGCCTACCTTTTCTTCTTAGCATTTATAAAGAACATACTTACTTCACTGGTCCGTTTCATAGCTTGTCTTCCCTACTAGGGCCTTAAGTCCCGTAAAGGTATACATTTATGTCTGTTCATTAACACATCCTTAAAGTTGGAGCTCAGTAAGTACTTGAAGACTCGGGCTGCCTCACCAAAACTGGTCAGCAGGTGGCGCCACAGGAACATACAAAGTAGCTATGGATTACTGATGGCCTCCAAGAAGTGCCCATGCCTAGGTTGTTAAGATACCCACCCCTCATTTTAAAAATGAAGAAACAGGTTCAAAGAGGTAGAGTAATCCCCTATATTTAGATTCCAGTTTGGTCATTTTTGAGCTGTGTGATATCTGCAGCTGAGCTTCAGTTTCCTCATCTATAAAGAAAGTAGGATCTATCTCTTAGGTTGAACATTCAGTGAGAGGACAAAGTGCCCTGTAACCCATGTAGAACCTGGCATACCAGAGGGATGATCTGGGAATGTGCAGAAAAGAACCTAGGCCTGCTCTCTTTCTGCCTAAGAGACTCCTGACCTGGACTACAGAGAGCCAGGCCTGGTTTTCTGAGCTCCCCAAGCAGATGGCCAGCTGTGGTGTGAGCTCTAAAGACAGGAGGGAGAGGCAGAGCCCCTGTCCTAGGTCAGGATCACTCCACAGAGGACAGCCCCTCTCCACACAGCCTTGTCTACCTACTAAGATGGATGGGATAGCCCCTAGATCAGGGATCAAGTCCTGGGTTTCATATCTACTTTGGAAATCGAGACCCCGGAACCTAGGACTCACGTAGCACACAGCTGCCAGCTCCTGACGCAAGGTTCCACTTTCCAAAGTAGAGGATGAGGCCTTCTGAGGGTTGACTCCATTGTCATAGACAGTGAACTTGGTGCCCATCAAGTTGGACCTGAAATAAAGGCACAAGCAGTATAGAGTCACACACCCTGTACCCCAGAGCAGGGAACAGCTCGTCCTATGAGGAGCCTGCAAAGCATTCTGGGCTGGTCCAACAGCAGGCCCAGGTAGGCATACTGCTCACTGAATACACATCTTTGAAGACACTTTCGTGGGCAGAAGGCCTGGACTTGCTCTGAGTTGACTCAAAGTGCATTTCAGTTTAGTGGCAGCAATTCAGGAAGGAAAGTCAGGATTCTTCACATTTATCTGGGGCAACATGGGAGTTCCCCTCATGGGAGGTGGGCAAACAGAATGGCATCTGATAAGACGGTAGAAGGGGCTCAGCACCCGTGGAGAGAGAATGAGATCTCCCCTGTGGCATCCAGCCTAAGTCTCAGTCCAGCCCCATCTCCAGCTTTAGCTCCTGACGTCCCATCTTTATGCTCCCCAAATCTGGTACTCTGCTCCTCAGCAAAACCTCATTCCCCATCGTCCCAACCTGGAGGCCTATCTCAGAGCCTTCCTGCCCCTTTCCCAGCACCCCCACCCCCAAGATTGCTGTGTGTTTCCTCAAGAGCTCATTCTCAGCCCTGTCACTTGGCACTGACCACGGAGCCAAGGCAGCTCTTCCATGGTGGCCTGCAATATCAATGACACCCTGGGGTTGGATCCATCACTCTTGGTGGACCTGCACCCATCTGCTGGGAGCAGCTTGGGGTTGAGTGTGTGAGGCCCATCTGTAAGACAGGTTCTAGGCAGGCATAGACATAGGCCTCCAGTTGGATGTGATGATCAGGGAGGATCTGGGGTAAGTATCCATCCCTGGCCTACATCTCCTTCAGGGAGATTGAGGCCCTCTACAGACAGCCTGCCCCTGCCCCACTCCCACTCCCACCTGCTTCCTGGGGGATTGCTAGTACCGCAGTTTCCCGATATAGCTGTCCCCTCCTCGAGACAAGTCTGTTGGGTCCACAGAGATGAGGTAATTAGAAGTTTTACTCTTCTTTCTCTTCCGTCCCGCCAGGAGGAACACCTTGGGGAGTGGAACGAGATCATATTCCAGACCCAGCCTCTGGTCTGCACACAGTCATGAGTGCCACTCACACAGACTGTCTATTAGGTCAGCACCCAAACGCACATATGTGCACACATACAAATGCACTGGCAAACATAAAATATGCACTGACCAGACACAAAGGCTGTTTCTTTTGAGAAACTGAGAGGTCAGTGGTACATGTGAGGCTTCCAGTCACATTTGAGCCCCTAGAAGTTAAAAGGGCTGAAATGCCTAGAGGATAATATAGCCCCAGAACCTTACCTTCTTCCCATCCTCACGGTCCAGGTGCAGAAAGTAGGTGGGGTACATGCCCCGGTCCATCCCTTTCTTGTCCCGGGTGATGCGGCATTTGATGGTGATACCCTGGGGGGCTGGCCTCAGTGCAAACTCCTCCAGATCCTGGACCTCAACATCCACTGGTTGCTCTGGAGCTATTGGGCTAGGGGCTGAGGCTGCCTCCTATGGGGACGGAGAATAGGCGCCTGAGCCCCAGGGACCCTAAGCAGCCTAAATTGGTGGTCTGGGTTCCAAATCTGCCTCCTGATGTGGCGGTGGGAGGGAAGGATCCTGGGCTGTGGACCTGGCCAGCCTGGGCCTGGGGTCAGGAGCTATTTTCCCAGCCCTGCCCTCTTCTCAGCATTTCCTAGAGGTGGAAATGGGGATATGGGAAGGTCCTCAGAGGTCACCCTGTCCAACTGCAGTTCCCCCGACACTTCAGCCCGCTGGCCTAGCTGAAGAGGTTAGGAGACTGGGTAGACAGGCCTAAGAGGCCAGCAGAGACGCTCCTAAAAGGCATGAGAGTCCAGCCTCAGCCCCAGGAAAGCCAGCTCCCCATCATCTCTTCACACATGCTCTACCTCTAATTCGGATGAGCAGTCCTCCAAAAACTGCTAAGGATGCAGGCTCACTCACTCACCCTGACAGACTTCCTGCTAGTAGCAGAGCTGGGGCGGGTGTTACTATTTAGCTGGGAGGAGCTGGAGCTGTTCTCGTCCTCATCCTCCTCTTCCTCTTCAAAGCTCATGCTGCTGGAGATGCCTGAGCCAAGGAGAGAAGAAGTAGGAATCAGTGAGAAGTCTGCCCCACCCCTGAAATACACATGGTCACATACACACGTTCAGACACTGAGTCACCTGTACCCACACACATGCACACTTTTGCGCAGCCATATGTACACGTAAAGACTCACATTCACACATGTATTCCCACACGTCCAGATATACAAGGACATTCTCTCAGGTGCACACATGAACTGGGGCTAACCACAATCTTCAGGGTATGTCCCTACCACCCAGTTTCAACTCAGTCCCTACATTACCCCCTTCCTAGCAGCCACCCTGCCACTGTCTCTTGTGTATGAAGGCCTACACTGAGCTCACCTTGAACTGGGAACCTCCATGTCTGACCTCAGGCCTATTAGAGGTCTTGGCTGGCATAGGCCATGGAATCCACCAGGGCATGGGCCTCAGCTCCTTCCTCAGCCCAATGTGGGGGGCAGGGGGAGCATTGACTCCTCAACTTTGCCCTGAGCTTTTTATCTCAGGTGTCCTCCTGCATGCCATTCCCCAGGAATGCCACCCCCACCCCCAGTTTGTCTCAACAGCCCTTTGTACAGGAAGCCATCCTTGATTAGATTTCTCACAGTGACTGCCAGGCTTCTTCCCTCTGCTGCCCTCCTTAGGGTAGGGCTTGTGGTGGGAAAACTGAGCAGCAGGTTTCTAGGGAGGATCTGCCCTGCCTCTTGGTATCCTGGCCCTGTTCCCACTAGCTCAGCAGACACATGGGAAACTTCTTGCAAAAGGAGCTTTTTCTAAGGAGCAAAAGGAAAAGGAAATGTGCCTCCAAATCTGGACCTCCCTGGAGCCTTATCAGAGGCCCTGCCTAAAAGTTTCTCATTTGTCCTTAAGTGTATCCCACCCCCACCCAACATGGCCAGGGAGGGGCTGGGACAAAGGAAGGCCATGCTCCCAAAGAAAGGTGCATCTGAGAACCTGGGACTGGATTTTAGGGGTATCACTGGGCCCCCATGGGGCTCACCCTTCCTCTGCATCGTGGCACGGAGATCCTGCCCGCTGGGCCGTTCGCACCCACCAGCTGCCGTCTCCCCTGCATCCTGGGCGTGGTCTGACTCGCCCACAGTCAGGATCTGCACTGGGCCTTGGGCATCAGACTTGTCTTCTGCCAGTGCTGCTGGCCCGCTGGTGCCTGTAGGCCACAGACACTCCTGAGTTACAACCAGGAGGAGGAGAGGACGGCCTGGATTCTCAGACATCCATCAAGATGATGAGGGAAGAGCAGGGAAACCCTCTGCAAAACTTTACTTGCAAAACTGATTTTTATAAAACCCATGATTCATCAGCCTGTTAACAGCTGGTAAGCTACTAAGGGTTGTGGGCTTCATTTCTTCTGCTCTTCCCTCAAATTAATTGCCATGGGTTGGTTTACAATATCTCACATCATTAAAGCAGATGGCAGCCATCTACAAAACCAACTGCACAGTAGAAAAAACAAGACGGAGAACAAGGATTGATCTAGACCATAGCCAAGGCCAACAATCATTCATGGACATGGCCAGCTACAAGTGACCAATGCTGGTGTTTTCTTTCACAAATATACACATGAATACACGCAGTAACTCACATCATTAGAAACGCAGGGCCCCTTGAAAATAATTAGAGTTGGCATACACTCGCCTTCCCAAGTGGAGCGTGTCCTATCCCATATCAGCCTTCCTGCCAGTTACCACAGAGCTTCAGTAACAGAAGCAAGGCCTGACCCACACAGGTGGCAGCCACCCTGCCTGCCTGTTGAGCTATGTCCAGAATGCTCGGCCAGCTCCAGAAGCCCATGGCTCCTGACACATCACTGTCCAACCATGATGCAGTGGCTTAGAAACCACTGCCCATGAACAAAGACTGAGGAAACGGGGTGTGTAGCCAAGAGACAGGACTTGGGGCAGGTGCCACCATCACTGTCCTTGATGATCTTTAGGGGTCTTTTCTGGAGAAAGAGGAGCAGAGGGAACAGGCTGGTCTGTGGTCCAGAGGGTAGAACCTGGGCTAGAGTACAGAGTCAAGGGAAGCCCACTTAAGGAAGAGCTGATAGTGAGGACTGCACAAGGATGGGGCAAACTGCCTGGGAGGCAGTCACCCCATTGCAGGGAGTGTCCTACTCCAGGCTGGGTGAGATCCTCCTTGAGAGGTCATGATACAGGGTGCTCAGACCAAGATAGCTGAGGTGGGGGACAATGTCCTGGGCCACAGCTGAGTAGGACTTAACTTCCTGGCAGTGTGGTGGGCCTGCCCACACCCAGAGGCAGCCCAGGCACCTCCCAAGCTAGATGAAGCCTGTGAGCCACCTAACGGGGAACCCAGTGGCTCCCAGTGGAAGTCTGTGTCTTTCCTGAGTCTGTTCATCCTGTCCCTCCTCTCCAAGTCAGGAGGACAAACCTTCCCAGCCCTATAGTGAGGCCAGGCCTGCTGGGGAGGGCTGTAGAGAATGCAAGCTGACCTTTGTGCTTTCCCTTCTTCTCCTTCCTAGCGGCGCCACCCTGGCCCCCTGCTGTGGCTGCTGCCTTGGTTCTCTTGGCTGAAGCTGGTGCTGTTGGGCGTGTGGCTCCCAGCTGTACACTGGCGAGTGAGTCGGCCTCTTGAACTGCTCAGAAGACAACCCCAGACAGAGAGAAACAGGTGCTGGGTGAGACCAGAGCTCCCACCTGAACACAGTCCCCAGCACAGCATTTTCAGCCGCACCCCGAGTCCCACCAGGGCCCCTGTACCACTTCCACAGCCCACAGAATCAGGCCCACTCATCTTTACTAAGCAAAGATCCCAGGGCAGGCCTAGCTGGAAGGAGGCGGCACCCCCAGCCCAGTGTGATCAAGTCAACAGCCAGATCAAGACCTATGATCAGCCAAGAAGCTGAGCAATCAAAATTCTGGGCCATCAAACTGTACTGAGCCTGGACAGGGGCAGGGAGAATGTCCGAGGATATGGCCATTGAAGATGGTGAAGAAAGTAACAAAGGCTGTGTCTTCTGGAAGAGACCACAACCAGGGCAAGCACTCGAGAGAGTCCATGGTGGGGCTCTGCGGAGATGAGCCCATGGGAGGCTGGGGTGTGGGAGTGCCCAGAACAGCAACTCTGGGAGACAAGGGCTACACGCACCAACAGGGAGGTCTCAGAAGGGTCCCAGCTGGTGGCCTCCAAATTCTCCATCCTGCAGAACCCCAATCTGCTCAAAATCCTTGAATGGTTTCCAATTGCTCTTAAGATGAAGACCAACATTCTCTCCCTTCCCCTAGGTTTAAACACACAGTCCCTGCCTCGGGGGCACCAAGAGTTCCAGCCACACCAGGCTGGTCCAGCGCCTCTCACCTCTCACAGGCACTGCGCTTGCTCTTGCCTCGGGGCTCTTGCTCCTCCTGCTGCCTGCAAAGCCCCCCACCCCACACCCAGTGATCAGCTCCCACGCATCCTGCAGATTTCAGCTTGGGTGCCACCTCCCAAGGGAAGCTGTGCCTGCCTCCTTAGTCAAAGCAGGTGTTGTCATGGCTTCCTTCCACAAAGCACACCTGAGACTGTCTGTTTAGCATTCTCTCCCCACCTAGACTGTGAGGCCCATGAAAACAGGGACCACACCCATTTGTGTTCACTTGGGACCCACAGCTTCTAATCCAGAGCCTGACACAAAGCTCAATAAATATTTAAGAAATGAATGAATGTGTAACATGAATGAGTAGAGCCAGCAGGTCAAAAACCAGGATAAACGATAAGCTCTGATGTATATCAAACGCCCTCCTTTTCCTCTTGGAATGATCGCCTGTATTTAATGCTTGTAGCCAGCAGAGAGGGAGGCAGCTAATGCTGTAGGCGGGGTGGGAGTGGCCTTAGAAACACCATTTCCTGGGTCTGCCATGCATATGTGCAGCAGCCTCCTCAGCGCTTTCTCTAACACTCGGAGCCAAAGACCCCCAGAGAAGCAATATGTACTTCGAACAAGTCAAATGTCACATGTGCAAATGTCCTCTGAAAAAGGCTCTGGAGGCCTGGCCCCATCTGGAATGTTAGCAGGGAATAGCAAGCAGCTGATTTTGAACCTTGGAGCACATCATGGCCCCTTCAAGTTCCAAAGCCCTAAGACAGAGAACTTTCCCCATTTTCTAATGGAGGAAGCATATCCAGAGAGGGTAAATCACTTGCCTCCAGTCACAAGCGAGCAGATAACTGGTAGTGGCATGACCAGCAACTTTTTTTTTAACTTGGAGTGCAGTGACACTGTCACAGCTGACTGCAGCCTCAAACTCCCGGGCTCAAGTGACTGTCATACATAACTGGGACTACAGGTGCGTGCCATCACACTCTGCTAATTTTTTTTAAAGATGTGGTCTTGCTATGTTACCCAGGCTGGTCCTGAACTTCTGGCCTCAAGCGATCCTCCTGCCTTGGCCTCCCAAAGTGTTGGGACTACAGGTGTGAGCCACCTGGCACAGAAACTCTTTTGACTTCAGTCCTGCACTAACGCCAGAGGCGCTACTTGTCCCGCAGTCTTTCTGACAGCCTGGTGCCATCTGGAACACAGCTGCCAAGAAATACCTGCCAAAATAACTGCACATCAATGACCTCTCAAGATGTCAATTGGCAGGGCCCACAATCTGGGTGCAGGCTCCCACTCTGTATGCAGCCTCGCTCGCCTATATGTGGTGCCAAGCTTGGCAGAGCTAGGGCTGTGATGCCACACAGCCATAGACCATGCGCCAGAGGACCTAGAAGAGTAGCTGCCTTCTTGGCAGGGTACCACTGCCACCCTTGAGATGGTGCTCACAAAAGAAGTGGAGGAGGTGGCTGCCAGCAAAGGGTGGGGCCGGGACCAGCTCTGTCAGGAGCAGCTGAGGCTGCCTCTGTGGGACAGCTGGGCTGAGGTCCCTGTCCCCCCTTTTCTGAGGGCCTCTTAAGTGGAGTACAGACATACTAGGTATGGCCAGAGTGCTAAACTGAGACACACACAAGGGAATTAGCATGAAGGAGCTTTTCAACAATATGAAGGAGAGACCATTTGGTGTCTGCTAGGTCTGGGTTCACCAGCAGAGCACTGCGAGCAGGCCACTGGGCCCCTCGGAGCCCATGTGCTTACGGATCACTTGGGGATAATGAGTTCCTGTGAGGATGAAACAAGATAATGCAGGTAAAGCCGCTGGCACTGTGCTTAGATGCTGGCAGATGCACAGACACCCTTTATTAGAACCACCAGAGTGGGCTTCCTCGGAGGGTACACATGGACACAGAGGGGATCATGCCTGTATGGTGTGCCCAGCCACAAATGGCACCAGGCAAATGGGACTCAACCGCTGCTCTCCAAAGCGCAGACAAAGGGCTCAGTGAGCTACAGGTCAGTGGAACCCAGAGAAGAACCTGAAATACTGTGAGGCAGTGTATGGGACCAGCAGTTAGATGAAAAAGCCCTGAGGTGAGGCAACTACCAGCAGTTCGATGTATCTGGAGGCTCCAGGTCAGAAAGAACCCACAGGAGGAGGGAAATCCCATGGCTGCCAAGGTCCTTCCTAACCGCAAGAGCCAGATGTCCGCAACCTTAGAATTACTATTTGGTGAAGTAGCAGCCTGGATTCCTAGCACCAGCAGGGGGCAGTGGTGACTGAGTCTGAGTCCTTTTAAGCTCAGAGAGCCCAACGCTCAGTCTGGCCTGGCCTACTCTTAACCTAACCCACCAAGGAAGGAGCGTCTTAAGAGCAGGGATGTGCTGAAGCCATTCTCTCTCCAGGATGAGCTGCAGAGAATTCTCCCTAGTGGGCTCTGCCGAGACCCGGAACATACAAGGATGGGAGCTGGAGGCTCCAGGTCACTACAGCAATTAAGGAGTTGTAAGCCAGAGCCTGGGATCTGCAAGTCAGAAGCCAGGCAGAAGCAGTGCAGAGAGGGAAGGAAATAGGTGTTTGTCCTGAGACACTGGTTGGTATGGGGCAGGACAGAGATGGATTCCTCTCAGGATGTAGAATACCAGTGGGGAGCAGGCTGTTTACTCTTAGAAGCTGCCACTTGCACACAGTGAAATGCTCCAGATCAAAACCTAGACTTCTGAACTCCTGGCTTCATAAAAGGTTTAGCCTTCTAACCTCAGCGCCTGATTCAGAGGTGACAGCTGTAGCATACGCAGGTGCCCAACGCCACAGGTCCACCTTCCCTCTGCCCTCCCTACTCAGCTGTCTGCCTGGGCTGAAAGCCATACACAGCCTGGGCATACCCTCACCTGGACCAGCCCTCACCTGCCTAGGTTGGCAGGAAGTGAGGGGCTTCCCAAAGCAGTGACAGGATGTGGGGTGGCAGGCAGGGGGTACCTTGATAGCTGGTGCTGCCACTGCTGCTGAGGTAGGACTCCACCAGGGGTGCTTGCTCCTCTGACTGCCGGGCCCGCCGGCTCCGGGGCCGCCCATCTGCGTTGGCCTGCACCATCAGGGGCTCTTGGCGCTTCTTCTTCTGCTTCTGCTCCAGCAGGGCCCGCTGTGGAGGCACAGAGGTTGGCTGACCCACTGCCTCCACTGGGAAGGAAGGGCTCCCAGTTCTCGGGGCACCACAGCCCACCTTGGCCAAGGCCCCATGTTCTTGGCACCCCAAGACTTGGGGTCCAGGAAAAGGTGGCAAGATGGGGCTCAGGTGGCTGCCTTGGCAGGATCCCAGCACAGCCAGCCAGCCAGCCCTCCAACTGCAGTCGCCCAGCTGCCTGAGGGGCAGAAGCCCACATGCCACGCAGGGTTAGTGCTGAGCTGGAAGAGAGGGTACCTCTCTTCTTCCACATGGGAATCCCATCCCATCAGATGGGATCATCCAGGAAAGACGCACAGCCCTGCCCCTCTGCCCTTGGAGATCCCAGCCCAGACTCTTCCCTTCCACCCAGCCACAGGCCCACTCACCTGCCGATCAAGCTTCTGCTGCCTCAGGTTTCTGCCCTCATCATCTAAAACACTGCAGAATGAAAGAGGGGTTTTCAGGGCTTGCCCATGAGGTGCCAGGATATATCCCAGAGCCCACCCCCAGCATATCATGGCTTCTGGGACTAAGTGAGCCCACATGGTAGATGGAGGAAGGGTGGAGGCTGACATCTTAAAACCAGCTTGAACCAAAAGGGTTTGAGCTTCCACTTTGGAAGCCTGACAGGACCCCTGTTTCCCCAAGGACTCCCCAGTAAGTACAGGATGAGACCCTCCCCTCAGACCCCTGAGCAGGGCTGGGCTTGACTGAGATCCAAGAGAACTATCCAGAGTCATCAGCAACAAGCCAGGTCCAAGGCCAGGCTTCAAACAAATCCACTCCCTCCAGCTCCCTACTGGGATCTCACCAGCCTTTTCCCTCCTTTCCACCATTCTAGAGGAGGCTGCATCCTCTGGGGCAGACCCTTTCCCCATCCGTTCAAAGCAAACGCCTGGCTTTCCTGATGGGCAGAGTAGAGTGCGGACTTTGTCCACTCCCCTTCCCCACTTAAAGAGGGCAGAGGGTCCTCCTTCTCATTTAGGAGAATGAAGCCAAGAGACCAACCAGTCCCTCAGGGTACAGGGTTTGGGACACAGGGGGGTGTCTGCAGGGCGGACACAACACATCAGTGTACAGCCCAGCAACCAGCCACCAGGTCCTTCCCGGGCTGCAGACATGGCACAGGCAGTCCTGGGGACATTGAATCCTTGAGCTCCACAAGTCTTGGGACAGGGAGCCTCATCTCACCCAGACTGGCCCTAACTCTGAGGAAGGCAGAGTACAAGTAGGGAGCTGGTAACTCAAACCGCTTAGCTTTTTGCTAGCCCAAGACACATGCATGAGACCTAGGCCCAAATGCTTTAAAAGCCAAGGTGTGGACAGCTGCATGGGGTGAAGTTGGAGCCTGATGATCTGAGCTCTGGGAAGCCCCAGGCAGCCCTGGCCCAGTTATTCTGACGCTGCCCCTGAACCAGACTATATGCAGGCACCTGCACAGGCATGCCCAAGTGCATCAGGTTTGAGAGAGGCTATAAGGAAGTGTGTGAGTATCTGGTGCGTGTGCACATGCGTGCAGACACCTGTGGAAGAAGTGGGTGTGCTTGTGTGAGGTGAGTTCAGTGTGCGTGTAAGGGGGAAAGATGAGGTCACATCGCCCTGAGAACAAAGTGAAGCCACTTTTACCCCCTCCTGATGGCTAGCCCTTTCTTTTTTTTTTGAGACGGAGTTTCACTCTTGTTACCCAGGCTGGAGTGCAATGGCGCGATCTCGGCTCACCGCAACCTCCGCCTCCTAGGTTCAGGCAATTCTCCTAACTCAGCCTCCTGAGTAGCTGGGATTACAGGCACGCACCACCATGCCCAGCTAATTTTTTGTATTTTTAGTAGAGATGGGGTTTCACCATGTTGACCAGGATGGTCTCGATCTCTTGACCTCGTGATCCACCCGCCTCGGCCTCCCAAAGTGCTGGGATTACAGGCTTGAGTCACCGCGCCCGGCCGGCTAGCCCTTTCTAGCTGGAGCAATCATTGACCTACATGTGCCTAAAACTACTTGCATCTCCAAAGGAGCCAGAGGATAGAAGGAAGCCCTATATCACAGAGCGCCCACCACCCACCTCCTTGGCCACGATCTATGAGGACTATGCATGTTTTTAACTAGCAGCTGTCCTGCCCACTTGACATCTGCGAAGGTTTTTCCTTGTACTCATGGGCTGCTCTGCATGTCAGAGGAGCCCCAACTGTGATCTGGGGCCGTGTGCAGAACAGCCTCATTCACCAAACCCTCAGCCGCCACAGCACAGGAGAAAACACTGCTCAAGAGCTGGACTTCTAGGCCTCGGTCTTCCTGAAACAGCCCATCTGCCCAAGAGGGCACAGCTGCATTTGGGGGTCCCTGAGGGCATCGCCAAGACCACCAGGTCCCTAAATATTCCAGCTGGCTGAGATGGTAAGCATCCCATTGTGGAAGGCACACACCCAGGCTGGTGGACTACAGCGAAGACTTCTGAAGAAAGGGTTCAGGACCAGAGAACAAAATGGCTGAGGACCCTGCCAAGCTCGAGAGGCTACAGCCCTCCCATCTCTACAGCTCAAGCCAACAGCCTGACTGAATAAGCAAAGTCAAAGCATTTGCCTACAGATGGACTTGAAAGGGTCAGACCCGAACACCACTGTCCACCGCGGTCAGCTGCATGCGCAGCGCAAACGCATCACAACTTCCAGGACACGCATGAACAATGCAGTCTCGGCTCTGTACAATGGCCCCTGGCCAACAGGAGCAACAGGGTCTGGAATCCAACTGTGCTCCGCTTGCCACGCTCTGTGCCTGGGCACAGGGCAGCTATAAACCCCACTGTCATGAGCCAGTGGCCTGGCCCCTGTGCGATCTCCATGAGACAGTGCTGGCTTCCCTTTGTGCCAGCAGGAGGGGCTGTTCCACAGCTTTCTAGGTTGTCACAAGCCACTCACACTTTCAGAGGGCAGTGCCAGGGGCAGGGGCAGTCACCTGGGTCATCCCCAGCCCTGGGCTTGGCTTAGCAAGACAAAAAAGATGCCTTCCATGGTGCTGATGCTGACATGTAGAGTCATTCAGAAAAGGGGACATCCAGCTGAGAGGGAAGACTCAATCAGCAATGCCACCTGCGGAAATGCTAGGTCACAACAGTTGCTCAACTGACAAAAGGTATTTCCAGTCATTGTGGCCTCACTGCCCAATGCCTTTAATGCCCTCATCCGTGCAGGGGGGGATGTTTTCCTTCCATAGGCCACATCCCACTGCTATGGACTTTGCACAGTATGTTGGAGGCAGGAGGCTGCTTTCCACAAAAATGTTACTTTCTCCTTCTCTGCCTCCACTTCCATTTCCTGATGGGGGAGGATGATAAAGAGCCACAGGCTTTGGCAGCACTGATTACCAGGTAAGATTACAGGTAGAAAGGACTTAACCACTGGCCTTCAGAGAAAGATGGATGAGCACAAGGGCTAGGCTTCTGAAAAGAGCTTTCAGAAACCTCAGATATCCCCAAAGTACCTAGAGAGCCACCTATCACCTCACTCACCAGTAGGCATGTGCAAGTACACAGAAGGAAAGGTGTGTGCACAGCTGGGGGGCGGCCACCAGGGAGAAGCCACCTGGGCCTGGCTGAGCAAGACCCAGCTAGGAGGGTCTACAAGAAATCCACCAAAATGGGGAGGCTCTGAGAGCGAGCACAATTCCCAGTAGATCAGTGTTTCTACGACAGCTGCAAGGGGACAAGGTGGACCCCGATTACCTAGCAGTGACAAGCGTGTACCAGGTGGGTGTTCCTAGCTTGCGACAAGTGCGCAGCATCTTTCCCTGGTGAATAACAAAGAATCCTGAGCCAACAGCAGCTGTTGCGGAGAACAAGGGCAACAGTGACAGCTGTCTCCAGAGGGAGCAGAACCAAAAGCTCCCCTGGCTTCCTCAGCAGGCCCAGCTCCCTTCTCCGCCCCCACCCAGAAGGCCCTGCCTCCTCATCCCCACCAGCACCATTCCTAAGGCGTCTTCCTTCCTCACCGCCGCTTCCCCAGCCTGCCTCTTTCTGATGGGCACTGTTCTACGCTGCACTAAACGATAACCACACAAGGAGACAGTAATGGCTTTTTAATGACTTCAGCTCCAATTATGGAATAACTGCCAAGCCCAGGCTGCCAGCTGCGGCCCCGCCAGGAGACTCAGACGGGAGACAGGGCACTGATGGATAGGTCTTTCAGCTGACCCTGGAGGCTCCTCCATCACAGGTGCCTCCTGCTAGGGGCCTGAACAGGGAGGCTCAGGAAAGCCACTGGCTCACGAGGGTTGGAGAAACCCAGGCTTCAGTGTCCACCAATCCATCCGCTCTGTCCGGCACCAACAAGTGGCAGCTTTATCTCCCAGGGAGCCCACCACTCCACATCCCCTCACTTCCCCCAAGGCGCCCCCCAGATGTCAAAGCAATGAACCACAATTGACAACAGGAGGCAGGGACAGAAGGGCAACACTGTGCCCTGGAAAAGCACACACGGCCCACATCCTTAAGCCTGCTTCCTACCCTCTGTTCATAGACTCTACCTTATACACTCCAGCTACTCCACCAGCGCTAACCAGAGGCCCAGGGGTCAGGGAATCCAGGGGCAGACCCAACCCTCTGGACATACTTTCTATGTCACTTTACCCTCCCCTCTTCCTGTCCTCATTCTTTCCCCTCAGTCACAGTGGAAGCTGCCCCTGCTGGACCCTGGAAATCAGAGACATGGGCTGCCAGGAGAGGAAAAGCCACCAGGGCATCTGGCTGCAACCCTGTGCCCAATGCCAGACCCACGGCAAGTCCAGATCTGTGGCTTCTGTGGCCCAGCAGCTTAATGGGACACAGTGAGAACCAATGCGACTACAGAAGGGAGAGGACCACACTGCTCACAGGAGTTCCAGCCGTCCAGGATGGGCCATCTCCATTCTAGCCAGCAGTTCCCAAATTTACCAGGTGCATTAAAACTGCTGGAGGGACTAAGCCCTGACTTGGCCATTTGGAACTGCTGGGGAACATGCCCCAGAATCAACCCACTCCTCCGTCTTTGTAAAACAAGTGCCATGGGTGATTCTAATGCTCACCCATGCAAATGTGACCATGAGCCACAGCTGGTGATCTCTAAAAAACAAAAAGACAATCAGGGAGTTGTTATGAGGCTGTTGCCAGAATGGGAAGTGGTCGGCTCAACTGCCCAGGGCACCTCTGAGGCCAAACCCAGCAAAAGAACTGAAGGAGTCAGGAGTCACATTACTCCCTAGAAAACAAAGTGAGGAAGTGATGGGAGGATCCTAACAAGGGTCAGGAGGAGGGGGAGCATGGAGACATGCTTAGGTTCAACCTAGGGAAGAACTCAGAAGAGTCACAGCCATCTGATGGGAGGCCGTGTGACAGGGATGCCACAGGGAGCATCCACTTGGAGAACTAGATGACCTGTACGGGTCTTCCAGCCTGAAACTCTCCAGTGCTCCAGGTGGCCCCATGGTGATGGAGAGTACTGTATCCCTCAGGTGTGCTTCGAACACAGGTGTGGGGCTGGAAAAGCCAAGGAAGCCCGAGAGGCTAGCTATCCGGTATGCCCCTTTGATTCAAAGAAGTGGCCATCTTGTCTGTGCTGGGGACACAACCAGGAACCAGATAAATTCCCTGCTCTCAATTAGTTCATGACCGAGTGAGAGAAACACCAGGCAATGGCCGCAGGACAATGAAGACAAGGGCACTGAGGACAGGGCCACCTCAATCCCACCCAGCATGGTCCTCCAATACCCTGTGGGCCTCAGTCCTTCCTGACTCTCACTGCTCCATCTACAACTTATAAAAGGTTGTAAATGGACAAAGGGCATTTAATATTCCTCAAGAACACAGGTCAAGAGAGACTGGCAGAAATAGAAATTATTAGTACTAATAGAAAGAAACAAAAGGCAAAAAAATGATTCCAATTGCTAAGCTATATAAATTCAATAGCTACCTTTGAAGTCAGAATGTGAGATTAATCCATGATCATTATACACTGAGCCAAAATTACCCATAAGAAGATTATCACCAACTATCATTTCTCTAAAGAAAATAAGCTGGGCCCAGGGAATGCAAGACGTTACCGTTAGAGAGGGAGTAAAACCCTCACCAGCAGAACCAGCAAGAAGCCAGCTAACCCCTCTCCCTCAAACCAAATGCCACATTCCAGTTCTGACACGCTGTGACATGAGGGAAGCCTCACACCAGTCAAAGCACGTGCGCGCCACCCCTGCCCCCACTCCCATCTGCAACTAAAATGCTTTGTCTGTCTTCTGCCCCAGTTTTCTCTGTGATCAGACAGCATGTGGCTTTGACTGCAATCAGCAGCCCAGTTAATGCAAGAGGCAATTTGAATCTCCTCCTCTCAGCCCAGGTCTCCCATTTTGGAAGGCTGCACCCCAAGTCCAGTGCTTTCTCACGCTCAGAGTGTGCTCTGAAAGACCCCAGCAGGGCAGGGGGAATCCTGGTAACTGTTGACATAGCCTGCCTCCAGCTAGACACCCCCTTCTCTACAACAGAATGAGGAGGTGGGGTGACAGGCATGGTGAAAGCACGTAGCACAGGGCTATGAGGGTGGCAAGCTGCTCCTCAGGGCCAGGCAACCAGGGAGGAGGATTCTACGCTTCAGGGCTGAGTCTGCGGCCCAGGAAAGGAGCTGGAGGTGTGGGGGTGGAGGGGAGGCAGTAGTTGGACCTGGGCTGGGGCAAGTGCCAAATCACTCCTTGCAGGATGCCAGGGGCCCTGGGCACATGCTAGAACAGAGTCATTTCCTAGAGACAATTTTACCTTCCTGGGCCACCTTTCCCAGGAACAGGCTTCAGCCATTCTGTTTGAGGCAGATTTTCTCTAAGACCCCTGCACTGTCTCTACAAGTTGCTTTAGTCCCTGGGCCCTGGGAGAAGCTTCCTAGAACCATGTCTTGGCCTGGCCCAACCTTCGGTTTGCCAGATCCTAAGCATGCCATCATCTCCACAGCCATAAGTGCTGCCCCTCCCACCCTCCTCAGTCCACGGCCACCACCCTGCCATGTGGACCCCCACACACAGGTAGTTCCACAGCACCAAGTCTACTCGGCCCACAGGCACTGCCCAGGCACCTCTGCTGTGTGGTTAGAAAAGGCTGATGATACTCTGTGGGCTGCACTGTCTTCTAGAAGGTCCTCAGCCTACATGTGCCAAGAAAGGCCAGCATCCTCCAGAAACTACCTGTGCCCAGCCTGGACATCTGTCTAGGGCAGCAGCTCTTCTGACTCAGCAGAGCCCCAGTTCCTGGTTCCATGATGGAAACAGCTCCCTGATCCATGTGAGACTGAAGTGTGACTACAGGTTTCTGCAGGAGACCCTGTAGGTGACTTGTGTGTGTGTGCACATGTGTGAGTGTGTTGCTGGTGGTGGTGTGGAGAGACACAAAATAACCTGGGAACCCCTGAATCCCCCACAGGAGCTGAGATTAGAGGTAACAACAATGCTCAAGAGAAAGCCTGAGTTCCCAGGCCTCGTGCCTGTTTTCAGAAGGATCTGCTTTTAACAAGCCTTGGGCGGTTTCAGCTGGTTTCCATTTGGGACGCTGTCTGGACAGACTCAGAGAAGAGCCCTGTCAGAACTATTTTCTGTCAGTGACTGGTATGAGGCTCTAACAGAGAGCAGGCTATGTTACAAGGCAGGTCCTGAGGATCTGATCCTGCCGTCCGCTAGCACGTGCACCTGGGTCAGCAATAACACAGGGGGTCTTAGCAGTCCAGCTCCCTTTTTACACACAAGTCTGTCTAGGAGGCCTAAAGACAGCCCCGTAACCCCTGGCAACCAAGGAGCCAATGGGTGGCCAAGAATCTGGCGCTGCCATGGTAATGAGCTCCTTTCCTTGGTAATAGAGAGAATGGAATAGAGTGGATGGGGAAAGACCTGCACCTGTGAGAGGCCCGAGATCACCTCCCCGCCCCTTCCCACACAAGTGGGAAAACCCTGCCATCGTTGAGATAGACCACAGTGCCTGGCAGCAGAGGGTGGTGGGCTTCCCTGAGTGTGCCTGGATTCTTGAGTGCTTTTGTGCATGTGAGGGCAGTTCTATGTACTGTGAGCTGGTGTGTGTCCAAGTATAGGCCTGCTAGCAAGTAGATTACTCGATCTCTGAAAGAGACTGAGTAGCACTTATGAGTGAGTAGCAGGTGTCAGTTATTCTCCAGATACACGATGTGGACGTGCACCGATACACAGGTATATGCCTGTGTGAGCCCAAGAATTCTTGTGTGTTGAATATATGGGTTCATGTGCACATGACCACTAGTGTGCTCTTGGTTCAGAATAACTGTCTTCACGGATCCATGCTTTGAGAGTGTGAACCAACCAGCGGTAGCGTCTTTGACCCAAGACATGGACGTCCTGTGGGTGCATGCGTGCAGATGTATGAGTGTGTGCGCGCACCCTGCACAGCGTGTGACTGGGGTGCTGGGCCTACGAGGGGGCTTGGAGCAGTGTGGGCTCCCTCCCCAGGCGGCCACATGGTGCACCCTGACCCAACAAGTCCCCTTCCAGCAACCCTGGCGGATAAGCGGGTGGAGCGGGGCAGGCGGGATCAGTCCGCAGGGGCCCTCAAAGTTGAGGGAGGAAAGACCAGCGACTCCAACCCGCGCCCCAGTGCTGGGACAGGTGGGGAGGGCAGCAATGCCCTGCATCCCGGCCGCGTATCCCCCGCCAGCCTACGTCCCGAGTCAGGGGTGGTGGGCGCCCCGGCCCTGCGCCCGCATACCTGTAGGGAATCCAGTCGGAATGCGGTTTGGAAGTCATTTCTCTCGGGGGCGGGGCGGCGGCTGCGGCTCTGGAGGCCGGGGCCCGGTAGGGCCGGCACGGGGGCCCTGCTCAGCTCCCGGGCCGCCCCGGGCCGCATCCTCCCGGGCCGGGGCGGTGGGCCCCGCCGAGGCCCGCGCTGCACGCCAGGGCCCCGGCTGTTGGCTCTGCGAGCGGCTGCCTGCGCGGCACGGCGCGGCGCGATGGGCGAAGCAGCGGGAGTGCGCGGGGCGTGCGCGCGCGTGGAGGCGGGGAGGCCGCCCGCACCGTCCCGCGCTTCTCTGGCGCCGAGGCGGGAGCACTGCGTGGCGGCGGCCGCCCGCCCCTTCTCCCTCGCCCCGCCCCGCCCCGCGGAGACCCCACCCCCGGCCGGCTCTGGGCCTGCGGAGCGCCTTTGCCCCCTCCCCCGAAATCGCCGCCATCCCTGCTCCAATCGCGCGCCGGCGCCCACCTTCGGCTAACAGCGGCGCTGCCGCTGGGCTTCCCAGCCTCAGTCTCGTCCTCAGTGAAAAGAGGATCACTCGAACACCTCCCTACATACCTGACCTACCTGTCTCCGCTATGGGATGGGAAACCGCTGCGCGGATTTGGCGAGGACAGGGACCGTGCCGGGGGCGCGGATGGAGGAAGAATCTAGTCGTGCAGGAAGAGGTGGGGGAACCTCCGGGCCGATGCGTGGAGGCTGGCCTTCCCTCTCCTCCAAGTTCCCACACCCCAGCCTGGGGAACCCTCTCTGTCTTTGGGTTAAGTAAAAGAGGTATTTCCTCAGCTGTGGCTCCCTCCCATCTAAGCTATAGCGTCAAGGGAAGGGGAGCATTTACTGTCTATTGCATTCCCCGCCCTTGCAAATTTCTAATATTTAATCTCCACAATATCCTTGAGAGACAAAACATCTTATCCGCATAACCCAGAGAATAGGAATGCGGAGATGCCCAAGGCCGTAAAGCTGGGGAGTGGTGGAGCTGAAATTGTTCTGTGATCTGTGTCCTCCAAAGCCCTTCCTAGGGGGCGCAGTTAACAGGAGGCAAAAACCTCTGCAAAGATCCTCTGAAAGTCTCTGTGCACTGAGGAAGTCCTAGCTGTGACCAGGACTTGAATGCAAGGCATGGCACACTGAGAAGGCAGAGGACCCACAGCAGGGCGAGTGGAAGCAAGGAGCAGCAGGCTGAGGAGTCACCAGGGCCTGCGTGTGGAGCAGGTGATCAGGGAGAGGTCTGCAGAGGGGCACGGTCCTCACACGCCCACGGGCGTCCTCATGTGCCTCCTGGATTCTGCCGCACCAGCTGCGCCAGGAGAGTGTTGTGCGGGGATCTTCTGATGAAAGGCCATCAGGACTGCCCCGCAGAGTGTGAGAACAGCCAAGTGGGCTGAGGAAGGGGGCTCATCCTGCTGCCCTGGGGCCACAGCCAGACTTCCATCCCAGGACTCTCCGAGCCCTTCAGCCTTGCCTTCTCTTGTCCATCAATTATAAAACACAATAACCACAATATGTGTGGAATATTCGGTGAGTGTCAGAGGCTGTGTCAGGTGCTATGTATGTAACTCATTTAATCCTCACAGCCACCCTAGAAGGTAGGCACCATTATCATACCCGTTTTACAGCAGAGGAAACTGAGTCACAGAGAGGGCAAGGATCTTGCCCAAAGTCACACAGCTGATCAATGATGAAGCTAGCATTCACACACAAATGGTCTGGGTCTACAGCCCTTACCCTCAGCCTCCTTTCTGCCTATCACATTTCATGACGCGTACACACACACACACACACACACACACACCCTCTCCCTCCAGCCTTCTGGAGCTCAGGACAGGTCAGATCCATCTCTGTCTGGCACAGCACTGATGCTCTCTGAACACTCTGACCTCTGGTTATTTATCAACCTCCAAGAGCTATCACTGTCACTGGGGACAGAGAGCAGACAAAATGAAACACCTGGGAGTGAGGTACAGGAGGCAAAAAAACAGGGCTGTTTTGTTGCCTGCTAGGATGCTTGGCTTGGACTCTGTTGGCCTCCCAGGAAATGCAGCCGAGATTGGTCCCTACCCTGGAGGCCACAGCAGAGCAACAATGCATTACCCCAGAGGCCTCCGACCTTCAGGACAGAACCTTGCCTAGAGGCCAGACGCTTTGACCCCTGGAGGCCCCACCCTCCAGGCCACCCCTTCCTGAGTTGAAGTCAGTAGCTACGGTGTCAGACACAATGAGGGTCTAAAAGATTTTTCCCTTCAAGAATCTGAAGCTGTTTTCCTCCCTTTATTTCCAAATTACCTGACATCTTAAAGCAATCAGAATTAAGTTGGAAGGTCTCAGGAGCCTGGAGTAATTGAATCTATTAAATAGACACTTTAGGCTCTGTCCTAAGGGAGCAAAATCTGGAGGCAGAGTGAGGTACAGAAATAAGATGGCTTTCCAAGTCTCTTTCTGCAGTTTTGTATACACATGGGATGTGGGACAACCGTAGGATTGAGTGCCAGTGTATGCATGAGTGTGAGTGTGTGTACATGTGAGGGTGTGTGCATGACATGTGAGGGGGCCAGTGGGACTGAGTGCCGATATATACAATATGTGTGAGTGTGTATGTGTGTGCGTGTGCATGTGTGTGTGTGCATGGGATATGGGGGAGCCAGTGGGACTGAGTGCCGGTGTACACATGAATATGAGTGTGTATGTGTTCATGTGTGTATGCACATGGGATGTATAAGAGTCAGTGGGACTCCGTGCCAGTGTATGCATGAGTGTGGGTGTGTGCACAGGAAGCGGGGGGGGGGGCAGTAGGACTGTGTCAGTGTACACGGAAGTGTGTGTATGTGTATGAAATGGCCCTGCAGTCTGAACACGACCGCACAAGAACATTTGTTGGATGGTGTGCGTGCAAAGGAATGATCTGTGTGCTTCTTTGAGATCTATGGAGTGCATGAGCGTTCACATTCAACTCAGAATGCATGATGGGTTTTTCCACTCAAATGGCTTCCGTGGTTGACATTTTAAGTTTATGCCCTTGGCTTCCATCAAAAAGCTACTCCGGAAAGTCATATGATGAATATTATACTAGGCCATGGTAAACGTTAGATTTTTACATCTGAACTGTAACAGTGACCCTTGAAGAAGGGCATAAGCTTTTCAAATGTAGCCCCAGGAACAAGGTTATCTTGACTGAAACACCACCACACAGCAATCCCAACATGCCTCTCTCACCACCTGCCCAAATCCTGCAAGGGTAAGATACCTGCTATGAATTTAAATCATCCTGTTTGCATTTTAGGCATTTTCAAACATGGTGATGGTTTATGAGGGAGTGAAGGAATGCATGGAGACTGAAGTGGCAACAGACGCACTCACATCCGCCACCTGAGCCTGAGGACCCCAGGGCCACCCCCTCAGCAGGATCAGTTCACCCAAGGAAGAAGGTTAGCATTTTGGCACTTAGCCACCTACGTGGGGTCTTATATTGCTGTAGTTAATGTGATGGTTTTATTGAGTGTGGGCCTCCTCTAGTCAATTCTGGAAGCAAAGGGATATGAATGATAAATGATAATCCATTCAGATTGGGCCCTGCCCAGTGGCCTGGCATTGTGACCTTGCAGTCTGAGGAAGGCAATTCAAATCAATCAAACATCAACTAGTCCCTCAAAGCCTGATGCAGGGCTGCAGTGCCCTTGGTGGGGGTCAGGTGCATGGCTGCTCTCAGGGAGCTTTCAGTTCAGCAGGGGAGATAGGAAGAAATAATGACTGTACCCCACATTAAGGCATTGGTGTTTCAACATGGGTGTACAATGTGCTGGGGGTGAGGGGGCGCAGAAAAGAGGCAGTCAATGGAAGTCCCTGGAAGGGGGGAGGTCAGGTTAGGACAATCCTTCCCAAGAGTAGAAAAGGATGATGGTTGTATTGAACCCTGAAAGATGAATAGGATTTTGACAGGCTAATAACAAAGGAAGGGGAAAATTTAACAGTTACTGCGATTCTACAATTGACCAGGCACTGTGCTAGGGTCTTTTACCAAAGGGCATTCCAGACAGAGACGATGACATGAGCACAGTTATGGAGACATGAGAGTATATGCCCAATGCACTTGAAAGCCAAGGTGCAAGCCAGCATTGGCACCATGTAGGTGAAGGGTTTGGCATCGCAGGAAATGGGCCTAGAAAGTTAAGGCAGGGCCAGATCATATGTCGTCCTGAACATCAAGCTAGGGAGTCTGCAATTATCCTAGAGTTTAGAAATTTCCTATAGGCTGTTGTCAGGATGTGGTTCCCAATGGGGGACCCCTAGAGGGTTTTAAGCCAAGAATAATCTGCCCAGATGTAACCTTTAGAAAGAAATAATTGGGAGCAGAATGAGGATTAAGGAAGGGAGACAAGGCTAACAGCATGGAATACTGCTAGACAGCTCTGAGTAAAGTCCAGGACAAAGATCAGCCAGCCCCAAAACAGAGTCACGTGCCATTTCGAAGATGTGGGTAGACATCATGGCAAGACGGTAGCGTAAGTATGGGTGGCCAGATAAAGCCCTCTGTCATTCCCACTTAAATAACTGCAGCATATACAAAGACCCTTGCACCACTGTTGATGACTGAGATAAATAGGCTTATAATGTCTTTGAGAAAAATGTAGGTCAACCACTAGTAAAATTAAAAACAATATGTCTATTTTCCAAATCACTGCTGAAAATAATAGCAAATAATTTCCACACCGACACACAAGCATAATCTACAGGAAACATAAAAATGCATAGGGCATAAAACAAAGTAATAGGAATAAAACCAGATAGAACGGTTATGAGGTGAATGTAACTAGAGAGCCTGTGAGCCTGGGTCACACACAGCTATCATTTGTTTAGTGCATGCTCTATGCCAGGCACTCCTCTGTGTGTTTCATAAAGACAAATATGGCAATGGGGGAATGAGATGGGATGCTTCTGGTCCAGGCTCCACTTGGGGCATCAAATGAACAGATACCACATTCCAAAGTGAAGTGGGATACACCTCTTAGAAAAGAGGTGGTGAAAACCTAAGTCTGTGCTGTTAGCTGACACCCATCTCTAATACATACAAAATAGGAGAGAGGCTGAAAAAAGGGTTATTGAAGGTTTAGAATGAATTTCAGAGAGAGCCTCTGTCGGTCCCGTGATCCCTAATAAGTGGGAGGGTTGGGCCGGGCGCAGTGGCTCACGCCTATAATCCCAGCACTTTGGGAGGCCGAGGCGGGTGGATCACAAGGTCAAGAGATCGAGACCATCCTGGTCAACATGGTGAAACTCAATCTCTACTAAAAATACAAAAAATCAGCTGGGCATGGTGGCACGTGCCTGTAATCCCAGCTACTCGGGAGGCTGAGGCAGGAGAATTGCCTGAACCCAGGAGGCAGAGGCTGCGGTGAGCCGAGATCGTGCCATTGCACCCCAGCCTGGGTAACAAGAGTGAAACTCCGTCTCAAAAAAAAAAAAATAAGTGGGAGGGTTGCAAGGTGCTATCACCTTCACCTCAAAGCCAGAGGAGACCTCTAAGTTGGTTGATATGTGACCACAATGGTCTTGGTGCCACAGTGGACAAATCCAAAGAGCAGCAAGAGTGCTGCTGCTCCAGCATCAACCCTGCTCCCTGGTTTGCAGGGCAAAGCACACCTGAGTGTCTCTTGTGGACAGAGGTGGGACCCAGCAAGACAGCCAGATGTGATTGTCTTAGAGCCACTCCAAGAGGGCTCCTCTGTGGGAGGGGGTGACACCAAGGGAGACCAGATTTCCCAGAGCCTGAGAAAGAAGCCATGGGATCGGCTATGGGGAGAGAGTATCACCCTCATCAAGGGAGGTGCAGGATGAGACTCCACCAACCCACAAAAACACCCCCATTAGGGAGAGGGTCCAGAGATCAACATGACACCAACTCAGAGTACAGTCACTGAAGACCTTTCCCGCCCCTCTCCTCTCCCACCTCCCTCCCCCTCCACCTTGGACCCTGGAAAGGGTCGGGACTCTCATGTGCAAGCTCCCCACAGGCAGCTGGCCGGCAGCAGACTATGCTGGGAAAAAGATGGTGTAACTCTGACGTTTGAAGATTTTTTTCTTTTTTTTTTTTTTACAACAGACAGAATGCATTAATTACTGACAAGACAACCTCTGGTTACCTGAAAATGGCCAGAAAAGTCATGGGGCTTACCCTAAATTTAATATAATTTTAGAGGGGAACACAGCCCTATAGAATAAATTTAAAGAGACTGTGGGAGGCAAAAACAAAGTTTGCTTTATGATTACATCTCATGAGTCATGCCTGTGCCTCTTCAACTTAGCAATGACACACGACTTCTCCCATTTAATCCTCAGAGCAACACAACAAGGTAGGTCCTATTATTATCCCCATTTTACAGATGAAGCAACAAAAAGGTTATACATAATCTGCTGAAAGTCACACAGATAAGAAGATTTAATTTCAGATTCAAATTCAGATTCAGGCAGATGAGCGTTGTAGGGACCAGAGATCGACCTTTCTCCAGAGAAAACCAGATGATGAGCACCTTAGCCCTTTGACTCATTAATTCCTGTTCTAGAAAACTAGCCAAAGGAAATGGAAAATGAAGTCAAAAGTTTATATACAAAGATACTGATGGAAACTTTATGGCTAATAGGGGAAATTGGCTGAGGGAGGATAAACAAAATGTCTACTAATTAGGACTCCATTAAGTAAGTAGTCAAGTGTTCACAGGATGGATCATTAAGCAACCTTTATGGGGAATTTTTGTTTTTAAGAGAGAGCGTTGGCGGGGCATGGTGGCTCATGCCTGTAATCCCAGCACTTTGGGAGGCCAAGGTAGGCAGATCACATGAGGCCAGGTGTTCAAAAGCAGCCTGGGCAACATGATGAAACCCGGTCTCTATCAAAAATACAAAAATTAGCCGGGCACCTGTAATCCCAGCTACTTGGGAGGCTGGGGCAGGAGAATCGCTTGAACCCGGGAGGCAGAGGTTGTAGTGAGTCAAGATTGCGCCACTGCACTCTAGTCAGGGTGACAGAGCAAGACTCCATTTCAAAAAAAAAAAAGAGAGAGAGACAGACAAGGTCTCACTCTTGTCACCCAGGCTGAACTATAAGTGGTGCTATTGTAGCTCACGGCAGCCTTGAACTCCTGGTCTCACATGATCCTCCTGCCTCAGCCTCTGGAGTAGCTGACTACAGGTGTAAACTACCACACCTGGCTAATTTTTAAGTGTTTTGTAGAGACGAAGTGTTGTTGTGTCACCCAGGCTCGTCTTGGACTCCTCGGTCAAACAACCCTCCTGCCTCGGCCTCCCACAGCACTAGGATTATAGGCGTGAGCCATCGCAGCCAGCCTTATAGAGAATTTTTGATGACAGAGTAACAGACTTATAAGATGGGATACAATATTTTAGGCAAGTATAATGCTCTATAAAAAAGCCCCACCAGCTGACACATTTGTGGTCTCATACAGAGTTGCCTAGGGTGAGAGACACAGTCCAGGCGCTTCCGCTCTGCTGTCCCAGGGACTACATCCTCCATTCCAGGCGACCCTTCTTCCAGGTGCGCAGACCTCCTGTTAGCTCCAGCTTTGGCCCCTAAGACCTCCTAGTGACCCCTGAACAGCAGAGACAACATGCCCGCCCCCAAATTGGAGAAGACAGACAATAAACACACACTATTAGTACAAATATAGTTTTGGTAAAAAAAATATATATATATATTTTGTAATGCCTTACAGGTTGCCATATCCTCAATCACCTAGTGTAATATAGTGTGTCACTAAGACAAGAGCCAAGTGGCTGCACTTTACTGCCCGTGGGTGCAAGGACACACGCAATTCTTAGCCTGGTTATTTATCTTGGAAGGGAGCAGAGGAAGAGCAGGAAGGATGCTGAACCGTGATACCGCTCTGTACTCATTCTGAGGCGTCTGCTGCGTGCTTCCTAGGCAGGGAGACCCAGGGCTGGAGGACAGTGTCCCTGACCAGGGAAGCTTCTGTTCCCAGGAAGTCCTTTTGCCCACTTGCCCACAGGGCATCTAAGCCCAGCTCTCTGGGGAGCAGGGGCTGAGATTATAAATAGAAAGAGTGGCTCTCAGGCTAAGCATTCAGGCCCCTGTGCTCAGCCTCCAGGAGGGGTTTGTTTCACCAGCATTATTGGATTTGCAGATAGGCAACAAGGAATTAAGCTGATCAGGAAGAGAGGGAGAGAGCTCTCATTTATTCATAAATGCAGGATTTATCTAGCAGAGCCCTCTCCTTTGTCAAACAGAGAGCCATTTCCTTTATATCCTCCAGCAAAGAACATTTTATTTTGTAACCTTTCAGAAAAGCCTATGAGTTGGTGTTTTTGACCTGTTTTTCTCCCTGCTTTAAGAAAACCATGATTATTTAAAATGTGAACTGCATATTAAATAATCCTATTCTGAATTCACAAACCAATCTCCCCAGCAAGAGGAATCAGTCCCTGAAATGCAATTTAAACTATTTGAAAAGTTTATCACTCCCAACACAGCAACCTTTTGCTCCATGAGCCTTCCCTTCTGCTGCTGCTGATTCTTAGATACCAGACTCTAGAGCCACCGAGGAAGCGGAGTCCCAAAGGTCATTTATGGGATTGAAATCAAGCTGTGGGCTCAGTTTTCCAGACTCTGAAGTGGAGATAAAAGTTCCAAGACCTACAGAGGCAGCAGCTGTAGAGGAAAGGGCGCCAGTGCTAGGTTCCAATCCTGGCTAGGTTGCTAATGTCCTGTGTGACCTTAAATAAGGATGTCCCCCTCTCTGTGCTTCATGAAAGACTCCTCTCAGCCCTAAACTTTCTCTGATATTTTGCCTCTTTACTGCAGGGCTGTTAGGGGACAAAAGAAGATGATTATACTTTGCTCCACTCTGAAATAAGGTGAGAATTCTTGCTTTATTGTTTTTTGTGTTAGCATTCTTGTATTTTGTATAAGAAACACAGCAGTGAAAACACACGAAACTTAGGAGAGCTGAATTCTTATCTTCTCTGTGCTGCTAACTCACTGGGTGACCAGAGCCCACGCTGCTCAGGCTCACCTCAGTTTCCTCATCTGTTTAGTGGAGACAACGTACGCCTTGCCTACTGCACAGAGTGTATGAGGTTGAACTGAGAAGGAGCGTGAGCCTGTGAATGCCGTGCTGGAAGTCCAACGCACCATAGAGATGGGACAACATTTAGTATTTTGAGCTCCCACTCATTGAGCCCTCACACAGGGCCAGCACTGTGCTAAGCGCTCATTTGTATTATCTCATTGATTGCTGGCAGCTCCCTGAGGAGCTATTATGCAGAAGGAAGCAGAAGCACTGTGGGTGGTCACAGCAGCAAGGGTTTACTCAGCCTCACCAAGCCTGCGCCATGGGGCCTCTGCCGCCAGCCCACCTCAGATGAGGGCGAGAACAGGTGGTCCCACCACTGCTGCCCTGCCTGGGCTCTAGGAGGGAGGAAGCGGGGAAGGGAGAGGGCCCCTTCCCCCTCTGCCATCTCCAAACTGAGCTCTGGCCCCGAGGAGGAATGTGCAAAGACTCCTTCTAGGCCTCATCAAGTGAGATCATGCCCAGGGGTGGTAGAGCTGCGGGGCAGTGCCTGCCTCTGCCTCCTTCCACCTCTGCGTCCTTTGCATCGCTGTGTCTCTCTCCTGACCCCTTGTCTGATCAAAGCCCACCTGCTCTTCATGTCTCTGTGTCTGCTTAGCTGTCACCACCTTCCCCACTGCTGCAGAGTGACCCCTTCCTGTACCTCCCCCGACCCCAAGGAAGTTATGAGTGGAGCCCTGAGGACAGGGGCTCAGCAGAGCAGGACAAGGCCCTGGGATTCTGAGCTGGACACCTCAGGCCAGGTGGCCCTGTCCCAGGCCTTGCACTTGTGAGGATTTCTGGGGTCTCCCTGGAGACAGGCAAGTTGGGCTAGCCCTCAGATGGATTTCAGAAGTCTCCCTTCCCCAGTGGGAGGGGCCTCGGGCCACTGTGTGTTCCTCTAGCTCAGGTGATCCTCTGCTCTGCCCCAGCCTCCCAACCCCTGCCCCGAATACGCCCCAGCTCTCTATGTCGTGCTGTGGCTCCCCACATCCGAGCTCAGTCTGCCTATTCTGAACTGTGTCCCGCTCCATCCTCTTGGCTCTGACAGACAACCAAAGCAGTTTGGTGAAGGACAGGAATCTCATACGAAACTTTCCTTGCCCCTTACAGGTGACCAGACATTTGCTGATGTCATAGGCCCATGTTCTCACTTGATCTAAAAACACCATTCGTATCTTGAATGTCAGGAATCCTGAGTTGAGGTCTAGGTCCCCAGCCTCTTATATGACCATAGACAAGTGCCTTCCCAATTTTCTTGGCTTCAGTGTATCAGTGTACAAGATTAGATAAGGTCTGAGGCACTCTACATCACTGAAGTTCCATTATCAAGGGGCCCATCTGAAAATTTACATTGAAAGGATATACATTTCTCACCTCCCACTCCTACTGCCCTGGGAGAGCCCCGTAGAGAACACTCAGGCTAGGCTTACCCCTAGGAAAAAGGCATGATGAGCACAGACCCAGCCCTCACCCAGCCACACACCTAGAAGACAGATGGCAGCGCAGGATGCACTCCGTAAGTGGGTCTGAGGTCCCACCCCCCTCTCCGTGAAAAAGAGTCGAGCTGATGAGTGCTTAGGAACAAGCTCTGCCATGAACCACCTGTATGCCTTGGGCTGTCCTGGGGACTGAACAGTTAATATATGTAAACCACTTAAAAGATGCAGTATGAGTTAGCTGTGGTTACATAATAATCTGCACCCCGCCTCTCCCTCCGGCCCCCTGCAGTCTGTTCTCACATGGCAGTGAGAGTGATTTTTTCATAAAGCAAATCTATCCTTGCACCTCCTGCTTCAAATCCTTCACTGACTTTCCTTGCTCACAGACCAAAATTTAATTTAATTTAATTTATTTTTTTGAGACGGAGTTTCACTGTTGTTACCCAGGCTGGAGTGCAACGGTGCGATCTCGGCTCACCGCAACCTCCGCCTCCTGGGTTCAGGCAATTCTCCTGCTTCAGCCTCCCAAGTAGCTGGGAGTACCGGCGCGCGCCACCATGCCCAGCTAATTTTTTTTGTATTTTTATTAGAGACGGGGTTTCACCATGTTGACCAGGATGGTCTTGATCTCTTGACCGCGTGATCCACCCGCCTCGGCCTCCCAAAATGCTGGGATTACAGGCGTGAGCCGCCTCGCCCGGCCCCAAAATTTAAAAAGTTCCTACAAAGCAATCAAGGCTCTGGTCTGTAGCTATACTGGTGTGCTTTTAGAGAAGCCAGGCCTTCCTCCCCTTTGCAGACTTTTGAGTCTGGAATCCACCTCCCATCCCTGCCCCGAAGGCCGAAGCCGGAAGCCCAAAGGCTGAGACTGAAGTTCCAGTTCAGTGGGGACAGAGGAAGGCCCAACTACATGTATTTCTTTCAAGTTCCTGAGGGGGGCATTGATGAGCAGTTATTAGTCTATGTTAGAAAGGAAGACTCACGGTTTATATCATTGCAAATAACCTACTGTACTGGACCTGAGAAAATGTAAGGGAATCAATAAGAAAACTCCAGAAACAGAAAGTTCAATAAAGTTGCCAGATAAAAAGATGGAAAAATAGCCAAGAACATTTCTATATAAGACACTAATCATTTGCAAAATGAAAATGAAAACGATCTCATTTACAATGGCACAAGACTACATCTAAAAAAAAAATTTTTTTTTTTGAGACGGAGTTTCGCTCCTGTTACCCAGGCTGGAGTGCAATGGCGCGATCTCGGCTCACCGCAACCTCCACCTCCTGGGTTCAGGCAATTCTCCTGCCCCAGCCTCCTGAGTCGCTGGGATTACAGGCACACGTCATCATGCCCAGCTAATTTTTTGTATTTTTAGTAGAGACGGGGTTTCACCATGTTGACCAGGATGGTCTCGATCTCTTGACCTCGTGATCCATCCGCCTCGGCCTCCCACAGTGCTGGGATTACAGGCTTGAGCCACCGCGCCCGGCCTCATCTAAAAATTTTTTAAATAATATCGATGAGACTGTTTTGTGATTCATATAAAGAAAATTATAAAATGTGACTGATACTTATAAACAGAACCTGAAAAAATGGAGATTCTTAATATATTTCTATATAATAAGAAGACTATTTTAAAGACAGTAATTCTTCCTAAATGAGACTTCATTTAGTTCAAAGCAAAATTCCAAGGGGATTCTGAAACTTGATAAGGTACAGAGATTTTTTTATGCTTCCCTGTGGTGATGGTTTAAGGAAAGGAGGGCGAGCCTCAAGATGGTTTGTGAACGTAGGTTCTGTGATAAGAAAGCCAGCATGGCCATGTGGACTTGCTGGCTAGTGCCGATCAGCAACACCAACTCCATCGTCCCGGGAGAGCGTGCCCACATGGTGTGGGCATCCTGCCCCACCTCCCGGGATGGCAGATGAGTCAGCAGCAGTGAGAGTTTGGGGTAGTCAGGGCACTGGTGCTACCACTACTCTCTTTTTTCTTTTTGCCTATTTCTCTCAATCAATGGCCATTTTTGAGAGAGCCATTTTTAGAGTCATAAGTTAAGGGTGCCCAGTTTGGCCAGGTGCAGTGGCTCACGCCTATAATCCCAGCACTCTGGGAGGCTGAGGCGGGCAGATCACAAGGGCAAGAGATCAAGACCATCGTGGCTTACACAGTGAAACCTGTCTCTACTAAAAATACAAAAAATTAGCTGGGCATGGTGGCACGCACCTATAGTCCTAGTTACTCGGGAGGCTGAGGAGGAGAATCGCTTGAACCCGGGAGGCGGAAGTTGCAGTGAGCCGAGATCGCACCACTGCACTCTAGCCTGGGCGACCGAGTGAGACTCTGCCTCAAAAAAAATAAAAGAGAATGCCCAATTCAACTGACCTGTGTGGATGCTCAGGTTTAGAGCAGACTGGGATAAGCTACTCACGTGCCCCTAATTCCTCTAGATAACCCAGGTATAGATCATCTGGAAGGAAAAAACAAAAAACAAAAACAAACAAAACAGGTAAGAAAAGCAAGACAATTCTGATAATGGCTAATGAGAGAAGCACCAATCCCATTAGATATGAAAATACACAGCTACAACAACTGAAGCAGTTTGGTGATGGACAGGAATCTCATGTGAAACTTCAGTGGAAGAAAAGAAGGAACCCAGAAATATACTCTAAGTACTTAATTTCTCTATAGGAATGTAAATGTTTATTACCCTCCCCCCCAAAGAATACGAAGAATACTGAATTTAAAAATCAGAGTGCAAAATCATTATGACAAACGTGTAACATAAAGCGTCCTGTGGTTATCTGGAAGGGGACAAAGAGAGGTTCTGGAGCTACGAGACTGGGCTGAGTTTCAGCATAAGCAATTGTTGTTATTGTAGTAGGTGGTTTGTGTAGAGAAAAAGCAAAGAAAAGATGGAATGGTTCAGCAAAGCAGAAAGTACACTGGGCTGGAAGCCAGGGGTCTGAATTCTAACCACAACTCCTCCCTGCGGAATGGTCGTGAGCTAGGTCTTTCTCATTTCTGGGCCTCGCTCCAACATTTCAAAGATAAAGAATTAACACAGATGACCTGCAGCGGCCCTTCCTGCTCAGCCTTCTGGGATTCAACGATCATTCCCCATGTGTGGTTTCTACAGCAGGGCTCGATGGGAGTGCAGAAAGAAACTCAGATCTTTCCTGCCCCAAATGGTGGAGCGACCTCATAGGCCGGCTCTGTTTGTTTCAGTACTGAGGCTCGCACTGCACCCAGCCCCGTCAGTCACAGGGACCCAGAGATGACTAACACAGGGCACTGGCCTGTGAAGATCACGGGTTACTGGAGGACACAGATGGACACAGACAACAAACAATAATCCCAGGCGGTATGAAGTCAACCCAGCCAGAGGTGAAGACCCGTGGGGCACAGCGAGAGTGCAGAGGAGTCTGGCAGGGGACCAGGCAGGGCTTTGCAGCAGAGGCGGCCTTTGAGGCTGGGTATTAAAGGATACAGAGCTCACTAAAGGTAGATGGGGCGAGGGAGCCACGGGAGGAAGGAAAAGCATTTGGGTCGATAAGGTCTGAGGCACCCAACATCACTAGCCCCATTATCAAGGGCCCCATCTGAAAATTTACATGAAAAGGATATACATTTCTCACCTCCCACTCCCACTGCCCTGGGAGAGCCTCGTAGAGAACACTCAGGCTAGGCTTTCCCCTACAAAAGTGGGGAATGAGTAGCAGAGAACGGTCTTGGAGAGGTTACATGGGACTGGGGAAGCTGGTCTGGAACAAGGCCGGGCTGTTTGTAACAGTGGGAAATCGCAGGGCTGCAGGTGGCATTGGGGAAGTGGTCCTGCCTGTGAGGGAGGGGATCCTAGGTAGCCCTGGCAGCAGGATCTGTGGTGAAGCCAGAGGGAGGCAGAGATACCAGTGAGCAGCTATTCAATAGCCCAGGGCAGAGCGGCTGGCCCGCAGGAGGAGGCTGGGGTGTGTAGTACAGTTGAGGCAAGTCCCCGGGACCTGAGGCAGGACAGCACAGCGGCAGGAGAAGCAGAACTGAGGCCAGACTGCCTGGACTCCACCCCACTAGCTTTGTGACCTGGGGCTGTTTAGCCATTTCCACCTCAGTTTTCTCATCTGCAAACAATTGGAATGCTTTTCAGGGACATCAAGGAGTCCATGATTTAATAAATAAAAGCTTTTAGCATGGTGCCTGCACTAAGTGCTCTATTCGTGCTGGTGGTGATGAAGGTAGAAGAGCCTGTTGGAGAGAAAGGGGTCTGGACAGTGACTCCTCAGGGGACCCAGTGGGGATAGCAGGCTTGAGAGGGGGTGGGCATGTGAGTTACTGTTCAAATGCGCCAGGTTTGAGTGTCCGCAGGCCACCCCATTCCAAGCGACTGGAACAGTGCATCTGGAGCTTAGGGAGAGGACACGTGAGGAGAGGGAAATTCAGGAGCCCTGAGCTTGGAAGGAGGCTGAGGCAGAAGCATTTGCCTATTTCTCTCAATCAATGGCTGTTTTTTCCATTTTCAGAGCCAGGAGTTAAGAGTGCCCAATTCAGCCGGGCACAGTGGCTCACGCCTATAATCCCAGCACCTCTACCATACGAAGGGGGAGGTGCAAACTCAGGGAGGGGAGGACTGACAGCAAAGACTTGAGTGTGTGGGCTGTGGAATCCAGAACAGAAGCTCCCTGAGGACAAGGGTTTTCACTGTTTTACTCCCTGCTGTATCGCCAGTGCCTAGGACAGTGCCTGGAACAAAACAGGAGTTCAGTAAACATTTGTTGAGTGAATACATGAGGAGACTTTTTCCCGTCATTCACGCTAAGCATTTTCTTAGGCACAAAATAATAACAGTAGCTAACATTTATTAAATGCTTGCCCTGTGCCAGGTACCATGCTAAAAGCATGTAGGGTCCCATTTAATCTTTATGGCAGCCTACAGAGAAGGTACTATTATTATTTCCACTTTGTAGATCAGGAAGCAGGTCTCAAAAGGTGAAACAGCTGGCTGAGTTCACACAGCTGGTGAGCAGAGCCAAGGGCCAAACCCAGGGCTGCCGGACTCCGCGTGGGTGCTCTCCTTGACCCTGACTCAGCAAGAAAGGAAACTGGGAACAACTCCTTGGCAACAATGCCCTGTGCCAACTCCCACATGCTCAGCAAAGAGGGACTGTTTTTAAATCTTGCTGGAGGACGGGGGAGCTAGAAGAATGAGCTGGAGAAGCTGGACCTAGTTGGTGTCAGATTCATGGAGTGAGGCCATTCACAAACCAGTATTTGGTGAGGCCAGATGCTGGAGGAATGGGAGCAGACCAGGAGCCAGGAGGGGAGCTGCCTGGGGTGGGAGAAGACAGGTTGGAGGTCAGAAACCTGCTGAAAGGGAGGAGCTCCATCTGTGCGCAGCAATGGCTGTGTGTGTGAATGTGTGTGCATCTGGGGGAGATAGGGTGCTGCAAAGCTTGTCCAGAGGATTAAGTCAGGTCCAGAAAGATCCAGGGTTGTCCCAGGGTGACAAGGACTAGAGGTCATTTGCAAAGTGCAGGGGCTGCACACCTGGCAGGCTGAGCATGCGCAGGTCACGTCACACCTCTTCAACCTGCTTTCATAACCACTGCCGAAGTCCTCAAACACCAGCAGTTACTCCACCTCTCCTAGATGCAAGCTCCGAAGTGGGCACGAGGAGTCAGAGGGGCTAGGCCTGCCCCAGGTCTCCAGCTCGCAAGTGACAGATTGGGATGCAGAACCCTGGACTCCTCTAGCTCCTGTGTGGTGCTGCCCCAAGCAAGGTGGCTGCCAGGGGAAGTCTGGGGCAACTTCAACCTGTCTCTCTCCAGGCTGTGTGGACCCTCTGAGGCCCTGCTGCCTCCAGAGAACGATGCTCATCACCCAGTCCCCCGTGCACAGAAACTGGCTGGGACTGGGATCAGAGTCAGGGCACAGGCCGTGGAGCTGTACAGAGGCTGAACCCAGGGCCAGCTCACTCTGGGCTGCACGGAATTATTTTCACCCCCAACCTCACTCATTCATGACTCATGCCAGCCCCTTCCAGTTCTCTTCACCTCCATGTTGCCTGCCTCCGGTAATGCTCCTTCAGGGGAAAAGCTGTTGTGCTGTGTGCCAAGCAGAACCTGACGTCCAGCATCTGAGCAGACCTGTTGGTTCTGGACACTCTGAGAACACCCTGGGCTAGAGGAGTGGACTGCAGGGTGCACATTCTTCCCCTGGAAGTACCCTTGGGGCCCCCACAGCCTCAGTGGCCCTCAGAGCAGCCTCCCCCGGAGCCACTTCCTCCTCAGCCAATTCTGGGGTAACATGATTAGCCACCGCCCTAGCACTGACCACCACGCACAACCCGTTTCATGTCTGACCAACCCCAGGCTGGACTCTGAGCTCACAGAGAGAAACCCTTCACAGTGGTATGACTCTGAGGGCAAGAGAAGTGTCTTCAACCACAGAATCCATGCTGTCATGTATGTGTGGACCTCCTACTATGTGCAGGAATGGTGCTAGGGGCTTCCCATGCATATCATAAGGCCACACACAACTTATTTTTCAGATAAGGAAATTAAGGGTCAGACGCTTGCCTGGCTTTAACCCCTCCACTTCACCAAATTCATCACTACTCTTGGGTCAGATAAACCCAGAAGCAGAGCTGCTCTTCCAGCTTTTCCAGCTCTTCCAGCTCTGCTCCTGGGCTTACCAGAGGGCATGCTGCCCCTTCCTTCACCCGCCGCCCCCGTCTAGAGTGGAGGCCTATTTGGGCCCACTGATAAACTCAGCTCTGCTCTAGGAACTGAAAGAGGCTAATGGAAGGACACTGACATTTGTCGACAATAACTATTCTTGCTGAGCACTGTCATATATTATTTTCTCATTCAGTCTTCTCAACCACCCTGTAAGGCAGGTATGAGCATCCCCATTTTAGAGAAAAGAAAGCCGAGGCTCAGAGAGAACTGAGGTCACCCAGTAAGGTATATGTGAACCTGAATCTAAGATTCACACTTCTGCCACACGAAACCACTTCTTAACTATCACACTGCCACTGTGGAGCCGGGGGCACACACCATGTCTCTTCTGTCCATTACCACCTGATCCAGCACCATCAAAGCCCTGGTTCCATGGGCAGCAGGCCAGGAATGAGAAGGAAAGGGAGTGTGCTTCCTTCCCAAAGCCTGAAGAACCTTAGTGGGCCCAAGACACCTGCTATCCCAGCAACATGCACGCTTCCCCCTTAGCCTGATGGTCATGATCCTGGCTTGGCCTCTGCAGAGAGGGGCCCTGCCCAAGTCCAGGTGTGGTCTGGAATGATGATCCCCTGGCCAGCTTCCACCAGTTGTCCTCCAAGAGGCTGGGCCTTGTTATCTGTATTATACATTGGCTCTGTGTCCTCTCATCCCCTAGCATCCTGCTTCAACATGGAGAGGCTCTTGGGACTCCAAGACCTCCTTCGGTTGCATAAATCACTATTCCGCTCCATCCTACCAAGAGTATCCTTGAGTATCCATAACTATCCATTTATTCCCAAGTTTGTGGAGTCCTTTGACACCACAATTTAAACTGCTGACTTTAAACCCTATGCTAGCTCCTCCTGCCCCCTCAGCCATGTCTGCCCTGATTTACTCTCCTCCGTCATCTGGTGTGTCTGCTCTGAGATCGCAGGATGCCCTGTGGCCCTGCCTGCAACAGCGTGGCACCCGGTTTCCATCACTGGGTTTCATGCCCCTGAACCTCACTGTCTCTGCTTTGAGTTCCTGGTATCACTGATAAGCCCCCTGTCATTATCTGCAGGCCACAGTCTTTGACCCCAGAGGTCAATGTTCCCTAACACCCATTTTTTCCACAACTCCCCAAGCTTGGACCTCAGCCAAGACATGAGGGCCCAGACCTCAACAAATGTTACTGATCTTACCCAGGCAGGCCTCTCTAGCCACCAGCAGAGCCCTGGTTTTAAAGGCACTGGGTAAACTCTTGGTGCAGCTCCCGGTTGGTCATTAGGATCAGCGCGCAGGTACACCACAAGCCCCAAATCTGGTTTATCCCCATGGCCACAGCCACAAGCATAACATGGTAATCCGTGTGCCCAGAAGTCCACTTCTGGGGTAAGAGGCGGTGCAGCCTGTCCAGTGGAGCTCAGGCATAGTCCACCAAGGTGGGGACAAGCGTGAGGCCATGGGTTCTCCTTCTCCCCTTCATCTCAGTCTTCTCCCTGGGGCAAGTGGTGCTGTTTCAAAACCATATTCATCATTCAGCCTCAGGGCACTGGCAACTATGGTGCTGAGGTGCGTGCTGGCCTATTGCTGGGAGACTGAGAACTGAGTAAGTCTGAAAACTCCGAGCTGTCCATTTCCCAGTCCTGAGCCAGCTCTGACTCAGGACCGATCCTGCCATATCCCTGCAGGACAAATGATGCCCGTCAAGTCCTCAAAGTCCCTCAGAGAATGTCCAGTGTCACCAATCATCACAACAAAAGCATTAAAACAACTTGCCGTGCCACTCCTGACCAAAATCACAAAATGAGGAAAGGGAAGTAAACGAAACAGCTACACATTAATAAAAATGATGAACCTTTATACTGGAGGGCTGTGGGGACACCAGTACATAATTGGTGTCACGGTAAATGGGTTCCATAGTTCTGGAGAACCATCTAGTAATATGTGACAAGAACTATAAAATTGTTCATGCCCTTTAACCTAGTAGTTCCACTTGGGGAATGCTTCCCAGTAAAATACTAAGAAAGTAATTTGTACAGAGATATTCATAGCCGTGATATTTATAATAGCAAGAAATTGGAAGGAGCCCAAAGGTTCAGCACTTGGGGAATTGACTAAGCAAACTGGGTCGAGTGAACACTCAGGGATGCTTTACAGCCAGAAGGTGTGGACGTGTGCAGTCTAGGCGAAATGAATGCGCATCCTTGGGCCGGCAAGATGGGAAACAGACCGAATCAGATGGCCCCTGACTCCAGCTTCAGCCATGGAAGCAAACGTGCAGTCAGCTACTCATGCTGCCTTCATGTTAATTCAGTTACGTCAGTAAGCTTCATGCCAGGTATGAGGGTTTTAAAGGTCATTTATTTTACTTTCTTTTTCTAAAGGTCATTTTGAGTTAACTGAATTCTTTTTTAAGAAGACACTTAAAATGCTAACAGGTAACTCCAAGGAGGAGATTTCGTAACTGTCCTTGGGTGCGCTCATCTCCCGGGAGTCCTTTCCTCGCGTCTACACAGGAGGACCTGGGCTCACCCACATGGCTGGATAGGGGCTGGTGTGGACCGGAGGCCCCGGGCGCCCTGAGCCCTGAGACAGCTGTGAGGTTCCCTGGCCTCAGCAGTCCCAGACATTGTGATGGGGCGCCCCTGGCCCTGATGCTCCGTCCCACCCCTTCCTGAGCCTTCCTCCCTCTGGGGCCCACCCTATGCTCCATGCTCTCTCTCCTGTGCCTCAGGAAGAGGTTACTGAAGAGCATGTCAGCCTCTCCTTCCCATGAGAGTGTGGATGACCTGAACACCTTCCGGAGACAACGTCTGAGTGTCTAAGGTGGCCCTGCAGGCAGGGCCTGGGCTTCCTGGCCCGGGGTGTCTCCCGAGAGCAGTGGCTTCCTCTCCCACCTGCAGCCTGTGAGAATCACCTGGGGAGCTTTTTAAAATAAAGATTCCTGGGCCCTTCCCAGAGACTCCCTGTGGGCGGAGCCTGGGAATGTGCATTTTTTACATATGCCTGGGGGTTCTCATGATGCAAACCACTGTTCTACAGCCTTCGATGCCTAAGAAAGAAGGTGTGGGCCTGGCTTCTT